GTCCGGGTTTTTTTTTATGAACCCACTTACAAGATTAATTTGATTAATATTATGACTCTAATATTTTATACTTCGACTTATGTTATTCGTTTACATATTATATATTATCCTGTTTATATTCGACTAAATGCCACTAATGCCAACGAAAATTCCTATAAATCAAATTATAAAATCGAACAACTGTGTATTGAAAACCTCAGTTAAATCGTTCGGAATATCGTTTACCTGAAACTTTCTCTCCTCTCTCTCTCTCTCTCTCTCTCTCTCTCTCTCTCTCTCTCTCTCTCCCCTCTCGCTCCGCTCTCTTCTCTTCTCTCTCTCTCTCTTTTCCCCCATACCATGTTTCTTATATACAAATTAAAAATGAAGTATTTCATTTGTTTTCCGTCCATATTAACAACAGTAGCATTTAAAAATTAGTCTATTATTATTTCTTACCGAGAAAAAAATTTTGATGATAGAAATCAAATTGCAAACTAATAACGATATGTGGTAAATGGAGTCCTGGTCATGGTTTGTAATACCTAATTGAAGTACCTAATGCCAATCGGCGGGGCTTGAATACTAAATAACACATTGTTAAATTATCCCGTTATTTCAAATTAATTATAAATTTGGTTGTTATGCACAAATTGGCATAGGCGAACGTGCGAGAAAAGGGGTTTGCGAGTGTTTATTTCTTTATTAACGACCAGTCGTTCCATTTTGGTCCATTCTTTGCATATATTCTCATATTGTTGAAAGAATGGGAGTTCCCAAAGGGAGCGACGACATTCTTCAGCGTTTGGACATTATATTTCGGTAGGGTGGCATCCCAAACGCGCCTGTTATTAAAGTCTCTGACAACTAGATTATTCTCGGTTATCATCCAACTCTACTTAGCTGATCAACTACTGAAGGGTAGTAATAAATATTTAATTCGACAAATGCTTAACTTTAGCCGACGTTAAGCTCAATGCGACGATATTCAATTTTTATCGTAATCTAAAGAAAGTAAATTATCCACTTCCATGAATCGTTCACAACATTTGTTGAATTTTCAAATTGACTAAGCTGGTTGGTTGGGTTCATTTCAAAAAATACAGCATCTGAGAAAACATCGAATTTAGACTTAAAATTTAATATGTGGAGATTAGTGACCGTTAGACGATGATTACTCCGAATTCGTGAGATGCGGTTTGGTGTGATGTAGGTTTCAGAAAAACATTTTCTTTATCGTGCCAACGTTTCGATCTTTATTGAGATCATCTTCAGGGGGAATTTACAAACATTCAAAAAAGTTACGTTTGTTTTGTTCTGTGTGTAATTTTTTTGTATTGTTGAAGTCGAAATTGTGTTTGTGTTCAAAATGGTGTGTAGCGAGTGCTGTAGGATTTTGCTTGGGTTTTCTGCAATCATAGATATGTTGTGTTTCTCTCTTATCCAAGATATTGGGATGTAAGACCGATGTAAGTTGCCGGACAGTTTAAACAATTGATTTTGTATATTACATGTATTTGTTAAATTTGAACAATGTTTGTAAATCCCAGGGCCTGAAGATGTTCTCAATAAAGATCGAAACGTTGGCACGATAAAGAAAATGTTTTTCTGAAACCTACATCACGCCAGACCGCATCTCATGATTTCTGATTAAAATTTAATGTTAAATTATGTAAATCCAATTTTATATGTTCATTGTGAGAATCGGGATCGTGCAAGAGATTGTGTTGAACAATTTTTGTTAGAAAGTTGTACAATATTTATTTACTATTTGTATGATTACAATGGTACAATATGAGAAATTGCTGTTTTTATATAGTTGATGTACAAGTGTGCTAATAATTCGGCATGGAAAAAATATATCGATTTACAAGCTAAAAAACGGTTAAAATCCGAACTGTTTTGATATTTTAGATATTTCACTAGTTTTATCAAGTTTTTCTACGTATTTGGTACAATTTCTAGAGCGATAGGTATCTGAGATCTAGTTAAAACGTCGAGTACATCAAAACTCCAACTGGCAACACCTCAACCGGTAGGTGAAAATCTAAAACCCTGTAAAACACCTCCTTTTTCGAAATTGTTTGGTATTTGAGGTGTTTAAATCATTTATGCAAATCATAAAAAATAAAATTAATAACTAAGAGAGAGGGCTCACAGACTAACGATGAGCCGTTAGTTTTGTTATTTATTTATTTACTTAAATTCAATATTTCATAAAGCTGTTAATTCTCTATAAATTTAGTTTCAAGGTAGTTCATTTAGTTATTGCAATCCGCAAAACCCATTTACAACATGTAAGAAATATGCAGATCTATTTAAATCATCATATTGTATTGAGGGAAACAAATAATTAATGTTATAGAAATGATGAATGAACTTTTGCAATTCATGTAGAGAGACGTGGTTGTAGAACTCCTTCAACCTGATGATGAGCTAAAAGCTCGAAATCCGGATCGTAGGAAAGCAACTTACTGTCAGTAGGAATCTAAATCTTTTTAAAACCTGTTACACTACACTTCTTGGTGATCTTAGAACATAGTTCCCGGGGCCATTTCTGCTTGAGACACCTTAGTCTTGATTTTTCCGTCGCGTATGTTCATTTCATGTTAAGCCATTGTTACATGAATTGTAAGAGTGAAGATCCGCCGCCAACGCGACGTTCTAATGAGAAGCTGGATTCAGTGCAGCTCAATTTTGAACATGCGAAAAACGTGAAACACCTAAATATTATCCTAACACATATTGGAAGAAAAATAATTCTATCTTAGCTATTAATTTGTACATCGAATATTATTTAGGTACATGTTTAAAATACGGTGTAAATCGAAATCTATTTATTTATGCAGTTATCTTCTTGTTTAATTTTACATTTTTTTATTTCAAATTTCTAGTTCCCTCCCTTTGTTGATTCTAAGTCACACTGTATTACAATTTAAATTAAAATTGTGTGTGGTTTCATTTAGATAACCTTTAATTTCAGAAAATGTGTTCGATTTTATTTAATATCTTAATCATTATAATTGTCTTGGGAAAACCTGCTTTTCGACAAGTTGTCAACCTTGTCTTTAGAACATTTATGTTTAGTGGTCTAATTGACTCAATTAATTATTCATGTTATATAAGGTCTTGGTCGAGATGAAAAAGTCAGTGTCACGAGCGGGATTCGAACCCACGACCTTCGGCTGAATACGCCGCTGCTCTAACCACTTGGGCTATTGTGACTTCGATCTACTCGGTCACCAGCTCCCCATCTGAATCTAAAACCTTTCGCATTTTAAATCTTTTTGTCATTTTTCATGATAGCTCAAGTGGTGTTTTACGAATTCGCCATAAAGAGTTTTAAAAAGTTCTCCATAAGGTTTTGTTTTATTAGTTTAATACATTCTTTAACAGGGATATTTGTAAATAAATTAGTAACATCAAATGACTCGAAAACAGAGTTGTCAAGTATATTTGTGTTCTTTAACTATTTTATCAATTCTAAAGAATTGTTAATACCGAATGTAAGTTGTAGCATTGGGGGTTTCTCGTTCATAGGTATGTGTTTTTAACAGCATATTGGTGATTTGAGAATAGAAAATATATTTTTATAGCAGTTTGAACCCTAGTTTTTAATTGTAAGGTAGGGTCTTTTTTGAAATTTAGAAGCCTTTGGCCATAGGAGAGATCGTGGAGGCATTGAACGATCTCCTTCCGCTTTTTCACCTTCACTCTCACGAGGAAAAGTTTCGCTATTTCGTATATTGGGCGAAGGAATTGAGTTCAATATCCGCGAAAAAAAAAAATGGTAAGAGCACTCTTTCCGTTCCGTTGGTACTTCTCCTTTGGCTCAGTACGTTAAGTAACGTTAAATCCTATTACGTTGATCTCCTTCTTCATGGCCTCCATTGGAGTGGTGTGGTGCAGGTTTATTACTGTCTTCTTTGATTTGGTACGTATGAAACTATGCTTTTGTTTCGGAGGGATATTTTATATCCCCCCTTTACGATTCCGCAGTTACCAGGATTATTTTTGTGTCGGCCCTGCGGCTGATGCACGGACGATGCACCTATGCGCTGTCAAGCTGCCTACACATTAAGATCTTTCAGATTTTTATTGGTGATCGTTTTGGCAGACTCGAGGATGCAACGGTTTTCAATTTTTCATGAAGATTTTCTAGGACTATGAAAAAATTCTTTGTAGAAAAAGTCTATCTTCTTTATCTTCATCAGTAGGCATTAGTGGCATAAACCTGGTATGTGGACTGTGCGGCACAAATCTCTTCACCAGGTCAAAATCACCAAGTCCTTTGACCAAATCTTTTGAAAATACGTGAGGATTTACTCACAATCAGATGCTATTTCTTAGGGAAATACAAAAAAGTTATTTATTAAACCAGCTAAACATTGATCACAAAATATTTTTTTAAATAATTTTGCATAGACCAAACAACAATTAAAAACATCGATGTTTTTGCAATTGAGGAAATATTTATGTTTTCAGTTGGTAACCTTAGTAAATATGTGTGGTGATTAGTTACCTTAGTAAATATTAAATCCATTACAGTTCGTGGTCCGTTTATTAATTAACATTTTTCAATTAATTAATATTTATAAAAAGGTATTGGTCGAGATAAACAATGGCAAAAAGGAGGGATAATTCGAGAGGTGAGGTTGAGATGGGAAGTTAGGTCCGAGTGAATCGAAGTGACGATAGCTCAAGTGGTACAGCAGCGGCGTATTTAGCCGAAAATCGCGGGTTCGAATCCCGCTCGTGACACTAACTTTTTTATCTCGACCAATACCTTTCATAAATCTTAGTAAATATGTTGTACATAATGCACGAATTCCAAAAATCACATCTTATGTACATAATTATTATTGTAATCAATAGATATCAGTGTTATTAAACTATAAGCTTAATCAGCATGTATCAATGTCCTACGTCATTCACAATTAAAAATAACGTTTTATTGAATGAATAAATGTCACGAATTTCTAATTATGATTTGGAGAGCTAAATGTATGAAATTGTCTTAGGCCTTTCTGTCGTATCTTTGGACAAAGCTTTGGAAGTGAATCACCTATCTGCCCGGGTGGGAGACAATGTCGAGATCAAATGCGACGTTTCCGGGACACCTCCGCCCCCTCTCGTCTGGAGAAGGAACGACCAGGATCTTGCTCTGCTGACAGAAGAGGACGTCAGGGTGTTCGCGGACGGCAGTCTCTATTTGACCAGGATTCAGCTATTACACGCTGGAAACTACACGTGCCATGCTCAAAGAAATACCGACATCACTCAAACTCATGTTCTTACGGTTCACAGTATGAAAAAGACATGTTATCTTTATTTTTCCAATATTTACACTTCATAAATTTGATTTACAGCGATACCGGAAGTGAAAGTCACACCGAGAATACAGTCGAGGCGGCCAGGGGAAGAGGCTTCGATGTTTTGCCATGTCATTGGCGAACCCTTTCCAAAGGTTAGAAAATACTCTATTTCTGTTCTTCATTAAATATGATGAATTTAATCTTTTAAACACTTACAAGGTTAGGTAAAAATAATTGTTTTCATTTTTCTCTATGCGCGTTCAATACAGTATTACAAAGAAATGTACTAAACATATCCGACAGAAGAATTGAATGAAAAATGTTATTATAATTTTAGCAATAATAAGTAAAAAATAATTTATAATTTTATTAGGCGATCCTATTACTAGTTTGAGATTAGATTGGAAATCAGGACAAAACATTAATTATTTCAAACCGGTATTATCCACAGATATACCGTGCCGTCATAGATACAAGCCCAACAAAACGAGCCTCATCCCATCCTGTAACCTCCCGTCACTCAGAAACCTCCTATAGCTTCTGTGACATCCTAAACTCCTGATACAAGCCCAACAAAACGAGCCTCATACCATCCTGTACCCTCGCGTCACTCAGAAACCTCCTACAGCTCCTGTGACATCCTAAACTCCTGATACAAGCCCAACAAAACGAGCCCCATCCCATCCTGTACCCTCCCGTCACTCAGAAACCTCCTACAGCTCCTGTGACATCCTAAACTCCTGATACAAGCCCAACAAAACGAGCCTCATCCCATCCTGTACCCTCCCGTCACTCAGAAACCTCCTACAGCTCCTGTGACATCCTAAACTCCTGATACAAGCCCAACAAAACGAGCCTCATCCCATCCTGTACCCTCCCGTCACTCAGAAACCTCCTACAGCTCCTGTGACATCCTAAACTCCTGATACAAGCCCAACAAAACGAGCCTCATTCCATCCTGTACTATCCCGTCACTCGGCAAACTCCTATAGCTTCTGTGACATCCTAGACTCTTGATACAAGCCCAACAAAACGAGTCTTATCCCATCTCTATACTCTCCGGGCCCTTGTAACCTTGCAAATGAACTAATGCTAGTGCTGCACCCGGAGGACACATGCCATGAGAAACCAAGCAATGCTGGCACTCAGTGTGAGGCGTTAAGGGGCTAGATCTCGTGGCCATCGTCGATTAACATTTGTGATTGGATGCGCTGGATGTTGGATGGCTTGGCAGAACCCCACAGTTCCAAAAAGAACGCAATCGAAAAGACAAGTGCATAATTTGTCCTATTTTGCGTTCTATCAATATTTTATTTAGTTTTCTTTTTTCTTCTAGTAAGGTAATTAATAATAACGTTTAACATGACAATAGAATTTCAATCTTACAGGCTAACTTAATAGCTGGAACTTGAGATCTTTGTTAATGGTTAATATCAATTCTCACCCACTATAACTGTACTTAATTTCGAAATATTAAACTTCGCCTGGAAATAATTCATCGCTGGCTCTAAATTAATTAGTGGAGAAAAGAATGATTTTTTTTAAATAAGCCGATGACTTACACATGCTTAATTAAATCGCAATTTTCAAAGGGAACCGAATGGTTATACAATTTATCATCGACATTATATTCTGTTGGCTTGTGCTGAAATGAATTTTTCATATAATTAATAGCGGGTTAATTTTACCATCAATTCACTAAATTGTTAAAGAAAAAATAATTTATTTTTCACAAAACAAAAAGTTGTCATGGTAATTTTGCATTACAGATTTTGATTATAATGATATGCAAAAAAAGTTCAACAGTCTGAATTGTGCAACAACCTAAAGATGTAATTTGTTTTGCATTGAATTTGAACAGCTGGAATAAACACATATATATTAACCGCATTATTAATATATTAGCCGCAACGGTAATAGCGTATCCAAGGTTTAGATGATGTTTAACAACCCGAAACACACTCATCATCAATGTACGTATTTTCGTCTTTAAGGACTATCAGACATTTTATTCCTCATTAAACAATCGAGCAATCAGATGATATTATTTAAAAACTTCTTATTTATGATAGTGTTCAATTCCACTCATATCACCATACCTCTAGAGAATGTGAAGTGCCTATAAACCAAAACGGTAACGACCAAATTACAAATGAGTAATAATTGGACTTTTTGTGCCCTTAGAAAAAAATTGACCTTAAAAGAAGGCAACATAGACAAAAAAAATATTTTCACGATTGTCCAATAGTTAAACACTGGCATTTTTATCAAAATATGATAGAGAAAACGCTTACAAAAACAGAGTGATACTGCTGGCGCATGCCAAATACCATAGACAGAATCAAAAAAGTTAAATTTGATCAAAACGGTATTTTCTTTTAAAGAAAATCGGTGTGATTCATGTAACATTTACATTGTGCTATATTTTACATTGTACTACGAGCACTGATTTTTCTTTATCACGTGTTGGTTTCATTATTCTTTGGATTCGTGAGGAGCGGTCGTGAATGAGAGAATGAAACCCTTTTCAATTTTTCGCCGACGTTTCGACCTTCATTCTGGTCATCTTCAGAGCATCTTGCGAGCTATTCTTCTGGCGTGGTATATTGGTGTTTTGTACAATTGTTCGTTTCATATATGAACTTTGATAATAATATATTTCTTAACCTTAAATGTAGAGAAATTAGAAAATTTAAATTTAAACAAATAAACATTTAGTTATTAGATTGTATATACAGTATAACTGTTTATGTTATTATTAGACATAAAACAAAAACAAATGAAAGTGATAAATAGACTTAATAAAATAAACAAATTGGGTATTCACAGTAAACAATTCCATCAACTCTCTTGACACAAAATAACAAGACTTATCTAACGAAATAAAGAAGAAGAAAAACAAAAACATAAGAATAAGATTAAATTATTTTATTTACAACTGCACTTTAAATATGCAGCAAGCAAAAATCTTGAAATTATTAGTCATGTAAGGCGGATACGGCAAGGTGAGAGAATATGGAACGGGGACGTACAAGGAGAAGTATTGTCTCGGGAGACAGGGGAAAGAAACACAGGTTGGACAATACTCAGTATAATAAGGTGTCAGAAAAACAAGAAAAAATATATAAAGGCTTAGAGAAACTTAATTAATTAAAAATTAAATCTTCTGAAATGAATCTCATGTAGCATATCTCCGATTAATTAAATGTTAACAGCTTTGTTATCAATCCCACTTATCCAGAATGACATATTATTGCTACAGACGTATTTAATCAAAGCACCATTCTTTATTCTCAATAAAACACAAGTCTCACAATTAAACTAGTCTCAATATTACACAGTCTACCCAACATACACTATTCCAAATACAACCAATTTTAAACAACTACAATTTTCACCAAAACTAAGTGGGCTTAATCTAAAGCTTAGTCACGCTAGGGTCAAAGTTGAGCGTCTTTGTTTGAGAACAACCCCGATTCAATGTTGCGCGTCTGTTTGTGGGCTGTCCCGCAACAATAAATAATGTCTCTGGAGGTAGGCCTCGCGGATGTTTCTCTGATATTTTTATTATTAATTAAAAACAGAAATTAAAGAAGGTGGGTCTGAAAATTGAAAAAAAAAGTTACAACAATGATACATACCGGGATCTTTTAAGACATAATATTAAGGCTAGAATACGGAATTTGTCAACTTTTTAAGAATGACACCTAAAGATTATGAAACTCTTTTGCTAATGTTGTCGCACTACACAAAACAGTAACCGCAGTTGCAGCAATGACAGCAATGAAGTTTCACTATTGTCCATCACTATTTATAGTACGTTGAGGACTCGCGTGGCACTTGGCAAGTACGCTGTTCCCGCATAAACTGGGTGGTTGTACAAACCCCGCATTCTGTATACGTAGGCACGCTATTTGGCGAATGCCAAGACGAGGTCCTCGAGACTTGGCAAATGTTCGGCGGCAATCGGCATTCGGTCTGGGGCCACCTTTTCGCGAATTGTCATTGTTCAATAACTTTCTGATTTTCAGGTGGAATGGTTGAAAAACGATGAACCTCTTAAACTCAACCCGGGAAACAACAAGTACATATTAATCGGAAACGGAACAGAACTGCGTGTACACAACATAGCTTATGCAGACACCGGTGCGTACATGTGCCAGGCGACGAATATCGGAGGTGTGACCAGGGACATTTCATCACTTATTGTTCAAGAAGAACCAACACCGAGTAAGTCATTGGATTTCATTTTTGAGCAGAATTAAATTATGTTATAATATATTAAACAATTAAGGATGAAGAGGATGGATTATTAAATTTTTCGTTTTGTGGAAGTGGTTTGTTTTTCCTCTTTCCAGTAGACCCTAAAGAGGGGAATTTTATTTCAGCTTCCATTTCTTATTGCAAGCATTTTTTTTTAAATATATATTTTATATTTTTTCCTTTTATATTTTTATACACAAGTGTAAGGTGTAGTATTTAGTGACCGTTAATTAATGATTATTTAGAGACCGTGAGATGCGATCTGGTGTGATTTAGGTTTAGAAAAATATTTTCTTTATCGTGCCAACGTTTCGATCTTTACTGAGATCATCTTCAGGGCCTGGGATTTATAAACATGGTTTACTATCATTAATAACACTACATCAATTCTATCAGACACAGACAAACCAATATACAATCCATTCGTTCTCGGCCTATCACACAAATTAAACACATATCTCTCTTCTCATAACTTTACAATAACCTTCAAAACCATAAAACTATTCATACCCTTTTTTCCAAAATTAAAGATCCCAGACCTGTAACAAATAAGTTTGATGTAATTTACAAAATCAATTGTATAAATTGTCCAGCAATTTACATCGGAATTACATCCCAATATCTGGATAAGAGATTAAAGTAACATATCTATGATGGCAAAAAAACCAAGCAAAATCCTACAGCACTCGCTACCCACCATTTTGAACACTAACACAACTTCGATTTCAACAATCCAAAAATATTACACACAGAACAAAACAAACATAAACGTAACTTTTTAGAAATGGTTTACATCAACAGAGATAAACACAGCATAATTCCAGAACAGAACATGTAAACTCAGCCGCACCTTCGCCAACATCATAAATCAAATCCGATATCAATAGCACACATAATACAACATACAAAATAATCTTTATGTAAGGTATTGGTTGAAATGAAAAAGTCAGTGTTACGAGCAGGATTCGAACACACGACCTTCGGCTAAATACGCCGCTGCTCTACCAATTAAGCTATCGTGACTCGATCCACTCGGACACCAACTTCCTTACATAAAGTTTAATTAATTGAAAGAGGTTACTTGGACAATCGGACCACGAAATCTAATGGATTTAAAAAGCAAAATGAAGTATATCTTCAATAAAGCTCTCCGTGGCCATTTCATTTGTCGCCGAGAATCAAATAGATTACACATTTGAAAAATGGCAAAAAGGAGGGAAAATACGAGAGGTGGGCTCAGATGGGAAGTTGGTATCCGAGTGGATCAAAGTCACAATAGCTCTAGTGGGTAAAGCAGCGGGGTATTGGTCGTGGGTTCGAATCCCACTCGTGACACTAACTTTTTCATTTCAACCAATACCTTACATAAAGATTAATTAATTGAAAGAAGTTATTTGGTCAATCGGACCACGAAATATGATGGATATAAAATAATCATTACACTCCACATATCAAACAATTCTACTAGTCTAAATCAGTGACAATTTATCCTTCATTTCCCTAATAATCCCGTCAATAATATTCCCGTTACCCCTTTTTTCCATTGTCAGTTCCTTTCACCTCAAAGAAGCCGGCTCCTCATAGAAAAATGAATTTCTATCTCTGCTTCCTTCCCCACTCATTCAAAATCAAACATATATAACAAAAAACATTAACATCTCACTAACACTCTTACACGACACACGACACACAACAGTGACACATCTATACAGAAAACACACTATGAGTGAGTACAAATGCTAAAATTTCTCTACTGTGTACAGCATTGTATAAATTCATATTCATATGTATTTGTATAATTTAAACAATGTTTATAAATCCCAGGCCGTGAAGATGAACTTAATAAAGATAGACGTTTCGACACATGAAAGAAAATCTTTTTCTTAACCTACATCACACCAGCCCTTATCTCACGATCTCTAAATAATCATGTATTTGTTATGTTGAATATGTCCATATTTTTAATTATTGTTATATCTATATTATTATTTGTTTTAATTATTCATTATTTTTTATATATAGTTTAAACTCATATAGAATTTGTAACTGTTATTCATATAAATAAACAAATAGCATTATCATTGATTGCATATACATACTTTTTTAATTACAAGGTCATTAATGCAATACATATAAATAATTAAAAAATGTTTGAAGTTCATTGAGTTTATACAGAGTCGAAATGTGTTAAGTATTTCTTTATTAACTCTTTCAGCAGTAACTTTTTTTAAGGGCCTGGCTATTTTCTGTTCATGTGGTGTGCAGGATGAGGTATTCACAGGTGTGCGTGCGTGTGTGTGAGTGAGTGAGTGAGTGAGTGAGTGAGTGTGTGTGTGTGTGTGTGTGTGTGTGTGTGTGCGTGCGTGCGTGCGTGCGTGCGTGCGTGCGTGCGTGCGTGCGTGCGTGCGTGCGTGCGTGCGTGCGTGCGTGCGTGCGTGTGTGAGCCCGCTTGCACATGCATTATTTATTTATAAATAGAATACAAACATTTTTTGTAATGTGCCTAATTAAACACCAACTATATATGTATTGTCATCAAAACAGCAGCACCTAACGAAGAAAGGAGATTTTTCGCATTTCATGATTGGGGAGTATCTGTATATGAACCCAACGCTTGCAGACTGTATCATCAAATCCAATCAACTGATATCATCCCCGGAACACAGGTAAACTTGAAATACTACCTAATTTAAATTTTTCTCATTCCAAGTTATTACCTTACAGGAGTATGTTTGTGGCGATAAAGGAGTTAACTGTAGCTGGGGTCAGGCGATTAACGTTGCAAACCGATATGTCTATGTTACACAGCCAATGAAAGATCGAGTGTTGGTCATTAGTAAAATACAAATGGTTGTTGTCGATGTAAGTATGCTCATATTATTTTTATATTTTATTATAATTTACATACATATACACATATATACAGAGTGACCTATATTTAGTTTTTTTTAATGAAAAGTGAAAAATCAAATGAAAAGTGAATTTTTTTTTAATGAAGGCAAATTTTTAAAAAATAAAATAACGCATTTCATGGTTTCTGATGTACTTTATTTTGGCTAATACAGATATATTTTTTCTCAAACATTGCAGAATAAACCAAACAACTCTTTTTTACCCAATTATGTTTTAGTGTTTAGTCTCCTATTAAAATTTAATTTGCATTCATTAAAAAAGTGGGTGGAGCAAATAGCATCAGTATCTGTGTATATTCTGTACATATTATATATAATTATATTATGTTATTATAAGTGTTATTATAATTGGTAGTTTACAAAAAATAAAGGGATTACAAGTTAACTTTTTTTTAAATATACTGCTTTGTTTAAATTAAAATGACTGGTCTTTTATGACACCCTGTAATACATATATGTATATACAATTATTTTTACATACTGACCTTTTTCACTGTGTATTAGGTTGTTGTTACTGATAAACGCCCAGTAGCATTACATTATGTGTCACATTTGGACCAAGTTTGGGTCCTTAACTGGAGAAGCAGAACCAATCAAGGTGTCAAAACAATTCAGGTTATTAGGGACGCGTCACAAAAAAGGAAACACCACACAGTCCATCCAGAACCAATTGACGGACAGTTTGATCTTGTTAAAGATTTATTCATGCCTCCAATACAGGTAAGTAAATTATTTTTCATTTAAACGATCCTCCTAACTACATTTGATTTAGGACATGTCGCATGTTTTTCAATATGGATATGTGTCACATTCAAATCAACGAGGACTTTATAAATTGGACTTGGCAAACATGAGATACGTTCGAAGTATTGACCTTGCACCATACAACTGCGTACCGAGATCAATGCAATTTAGTGCTTTGTGTAAGTATGTTTATATTTTTACAATTCAAGTTGTTGCTGAATAGTTTTGAAAGTTTTTAAAACTAGTTTCTCTTCTTTGTAATAATCTTAATAAATTGTATATTTTCCCAAAGATGGATTTGTTATCCTGGAATGTGAGGAAGCCGTAACTGGACGACCAACAGGTCAGCTTGTAATGGATGCACTCACAGATTCAATCATTTCCCAGAAGCCAGAATTAACTGGTGTACCGAAAATTGCACCAAACTCCAGGACAATAGTTAACGTGTACAGTACTTCGACAGGAGTAACTTTGGTTGTTCAAAGTATCACAGGTGAGAATATCAAACTATTATTTTGCCTTAATTTATATTCGCATTATAATCACACTGCTTGAATTTTCTAGAAACCGGTCTTAAATACATGTTCGATGTCAATACTACACTGAATATCAGTGATATTACATTTTACCCATCGCAAACAACTCACGGATATGATCTTTATGCAAGTTCAGTAGACAAAGAGGATATCCTCTTCTTAAATCTGTTGACAGGTAAACATATGAGCTTTAAGTTATGTTATATTTACAAAAAAATGTATTGTACTAATAAAATTATCAAAACTAATACAGGAAAAGTAGAAATGATAACTGGTGTTGGAAAAGCAATGGAGCCTTCATTAGCCCAATGGGGAAATCCAAATAGAGTAATTGCAGCGTCTGGCGTATTTGGTCATTTTATGGTAACACCTGCAAATGAAGCTCTTTTTGTGGTTAACGGAGAAAGTAGAACCGTTAACTGCGAGATCGGTGGTCTCGTACACCCTAGAGCTGTTGTATGGGTCACAATGCACCTTCAATAAAGGACCACACCATGGAAAGTCAACCAACATCAGGAATTTTTCTAATCTAGAGAGTGTATACATCTGTAACATCTTAAACAAATATTGCTGGTTAACCACATTGAATCAAAGATATTCGTGTTTCACTTCCCAATGCATTGTAAATATTTTTTTAATGTAATGAAAAATTCTTGTTGATGTTGGTTCATTTCTTTTAAATTGAAACCAAAAAAAGTTTTATAAATTTATAGGTTTCATCGTGGATTTGAATCCAATCCAATTACTATTATTATTTTAACTTATTTAAGTGAAACAATCAGCTTACATATGTGTCGTTGCTAAAATAAGGTTATGCTTTTTATATTGTTATTTATATAAAAATAATTGAATTTTTATTTATTGTGAAAATTATTGAAAATATATTGGAATCGGAAGATGAAAATTAATTGGATAAAGAGCAATAATTCCATCTGTAAGGGAATAATCATTTTAAAAGAAATGAAGATACACTAACGATAAATTGTAATTTGGAGCTGTAACTGGTGGGAACTGTAAAATGATCACAGTTTTAGTGCCTTGCTGGAAAAGAGTAACTGTGACGATATCAGGAAAGAATTATTTAACCACATGCTAAAAAACATACTTTTCTCATCATGATGTTTTATTTGTTTAAAAATGGACATTAAGTATCAAAAATGTGCATTAGGTATAAATAAATGTGTAAATGTAAATCCTTTGAGAAAAACAAAGCTGGGTTAACATATCAATTTTTAACTGCCCACATTTTAATAACTTCAACAATTCAATATCTGAATTTTCAGTATTAAACAACACCACTGTATAATTAAATGTTTTATTTGTTGTATATGTAGCCAAGTATATGTGTGTGTTATATTATATAAAAATATATAATATTCATACGTACTCCACCCATACACATATTGCATATATAAATAATTTTTAATCGCCTTGGAGAAAGTAGATCGATGCTTCTTTTAATTTATGTAAAAAAATTATAATAACAAAACAATTTTTGCTCAAATCATACATGATGAATTGTTTTTCATTATTTTTTTCAGTAGTTGTTTCATGCACCACATTGTCCGATAATGTATTTTTCTTAGCACACATTACTGATTAATTATTTTGAATTTAAAAAATTATTTTTAGCCAATTAATATTAAAATAAATAGCTGTAATTAGAAATAAGGTTTTGTTTGTCATACACATACTTAAACATTCCGTGCTATGCTTTGTTGTAAATATTTCACCCATTTTATGCATGAATGGAAAGTTGAGTTTTCCATAGAGTTAGTTTTTAAAAAAAGTTACAAGGTTGTTGATATGGTGAAAAATATTTAACGTCCATATTTGTATATTTTCTGTATTGTTATATTTACAGTAGTTGCGCTAGAACTAATAATAAAATTGCTAGTTAAGTAAAAAAGTTGAAACACTAAATCTTTTTGGGGAAAAACTACATTGTACAAAAAAAAATACATATTTTACAGTGCATCACTTTTTATATTCAAATTACATATATATTAGGCACAAAACTGAAAACTTTGCTAGGTAGGAAAATTAAAAACAAAAATAGAATACAGTGCCTACTTGCTAAAAAGTTCAACTCACATTTCTGTAGTAAATGTTTGATTACACATACATATTACAAAGAAAGTTGCATATCACTTACATCATTAATTGTCATTTCATTGCAGCCCACAGGCACTCAAATAAAAAAAGAAAGCTATTTTCTAATCCTGGACAACACTACTTTCAGGAATTTTTTCAAAAAAATACAAACTCAGTGTCATATCTTATATTTTTATAATTGACCTAGTTTCCCTCATGAACCAAAAATTTATAAAAACAATGAAATAGACGAACAAGAAATTGGGCACTTGGTTGTTTTCATTTGTGTGTCATTTGAGTAAATACTCAACAAATCAACACATTCCATTTTATTATTAATTACTGCACCTCTTTTCATTATGTGAAAATTATTAAAAATTGTTTCTACAATAGTGTGTAAATATCCACAAATATAAATCGATTTCCCACAAAAATATATACATTTTATATATTATTTATACAAATGTGAAATTACTATTGAAGTGATAAGTAAGCATGGGTTTGAATGGATGGCACGAATCTAGTCAGCAGATCACATGCTTTAGTCTAATTCATACTGGGAAAAGTAAAGTAAAGAATCGTGGCAATTTACAATTCAGTACAACAAAATTATGTACTATAAACCATTATGTTAAACAATGAGAGATAAAGGGAATGCTAGCTTAAAAAAATGTGAAATGCTTTAATATGTAATATAGTAAGCATAAATTGGTTTATAAATAAAGGCAAAAATTATTATATTGATTTAACTTTAAAAAATCCTCCACCACAAAGCATCCATCATCTATATTTAATGAATTAAAGAAGAAAAGGCTTATTTATTAATTACAAATTGTATAAGCAGAAAGTAAAATATGAAAAAGTTTATTACTTCAGACACAAAGTGAATTTTAATTTAGCAGCAACACAGAATATTTTTTTTAAACCATGAAGACATGTTCTGGCCTTATTCTCATTTTCTAACTTGACCGCTGCTTCAGGGTGAGGTGTGGCAACAGGTCATTCAGAAGTCAGAAAGATACAAGTCATACAAGGAAGCATTCTTGACCCTTTATATTATTTATACTGCTGCCATACCTAACATCCTAATACCATCATCACCACCTTCACAGACTATACTGCAATTTTGCCTTCTAACTCAAATCCTATCCAAGGTTACTCCATCATCCAAGAACACCGTGAGCTTATCAAAGACTGGTGAAAAAGTGGAGGACAAGAATTAATGAAGACAAATGTACTCAGTACATGTTCACATTGAAAACACAGTCTTGCCTTCCACTGCACATAGAACAAAGTGACAATCCCTTGGAACAATACTTAGAAAGCAGACTCAGGGGAATTCCCACACAAGACATAAGAGACAACTTAACAAAATTCTTGAAGAACGACGAAGACTTCTAAGACTGACATCCAACTTCACTGTCAACACTGAACTATGGTATGGTAAAAAGGATACTAGGAAGTGTGGTTTCTGCTCCCCAGACACTACAGCCTTCTGGCTTATTGTACCTTCCTAGTTCCTTAGTTCAGTGCAATACTCAATCCTTCTCCTAAGAAGTATCAGGTCATTGACTGTCGCTGCTGCAATTTGATTCCCTAAGTTTTTTTCATATGTTAGGTTAAATCTCCATTGAGCTGTTGCATCACATTTGAAGATGATATGGGTGGCTGTTTCCTCCTAATACATGAATAATCTGCAGATGAGATCATCATTGTATATGCCCATGCTCTGTAGACGAACATTGAATAACCTTATACAAGAATTTACAGCGACCACATTGGACATCGGAGTGACACTGTGGATTTCTTCCAACCCATCCAATTTTTCTAATGAAAAGTCCTCAGATAAATCAAAGCTTTTTACTGCATCACTAACCTGAATATGACCTAAACATTCCTTTTGTCAACAAAGATGGCCTCAAGGCCTCCTCGCCCTAAATCTCCCAGCACTGGCATTATTTTAGTATTTTAATGTGAAAAAAACATTTTGTGATTACATTTGTAATATATACTTTTTTAATAATAATATTATTTGCATCCTGTACATGAATACATCTTACAAATTGCAAATTGTTTTAATGGTATAAAAATCCTGGGCAAAACACTAACACTTCTACCAGTACTGCACCCGGACTCATGTTGTGAGATGCCAGCCAATACAGGCACTCATTTTGTTATTGGTTCAGCGAAGAAGTCACAGGGCCATCATTGTTTGGGGCAACGTGGAGGGTTCTTGGGTGATGGGAAGAAATGGAGAGGGCTTGAACAGTAGGGTTAGGATAGTTTGAAAGATTGGATTGAAACTTGAGTAAGCGGGAGCAAATCTGTCCTTTGACGGAGTGAATGTTAAGGTCATTGTATATAGTGAGATTGGAGACATAGTAAAGAGTTAGAATTCTTCTGAGGAATTTTATTGGAAAGCTTAAATACATTGGATGTAAGATGGCTTGGTGGTGCCCACAGTTCCGCTCCCTATGTCCAAATAGGAAATGTTTTGTATAGAGTTAGTTTATGGTCTTGCAGATTCCTCTGGCCAATATGACTGCTTTTTCGTTACCCAAAATTCCTTTGTGCTCTGGCACCAAGATAGCATCAGGTTGTTGTTTCCCCAGGTTTTAGAGATTTTGGATGCATTCACTGGCTAATTTTGATGTGATTTTTTACATCCTAATGCTTTAATAGATGTTTGGCTATCAGATCTTATGGGGAATTTTTTGCCAGTGTAACCATTTTATGATTTTCTATGGCATGTTGATGGCATGTATTTCTGCTTGAAAGATGGAAGTGTACTTCCCTAATGAGTTTGATTGCTCGTATCGTAGGCTTATACAAAAAACATCCATTCTGGTTCCTTCATTTTTTTTAGAGCCATCTGTATACTTTATCATTGTATATGACACTTCTGAGTTCTTTCCCTCATTTACAGTCTGTTGAGACTTTATAGGATGTAAAGAATGTTTCCGGGATCATATAGTCAGTTCCCATTCCTAAGAATGGGTGTCAATGAATTATGGTTGTGTGCCCAAATTGTTTAGTTCCTATCCAATTTGATTATTTTTGGAGCCTAAATGAGTTTTTCCTAGCCTCTCCTTGTATAAAGGTTCCCACTGGAATAGGTTTAGCAGAGTTTCTAGTACAGGCTGTTCTCATTGCCCCTTTGGCTCATAGGTTTGCTAATCTTTGTATGTTGCCTAGTGATTGAGTGGCTACTTTTTGATGAGCTTTGGTACACCAAATGATGATCCATAGGTAATTTTGGGTCTTAATAACAAATCTCTCCAAGTCGTTCTTTATGCCTATACAACGAAAAACACAACACACAGTTGATACTGTGATCAGATATGCATAAATGTAGGAAATGTAAAACTTATTTGTACCATTTTCACCAAAATAAAAAAACAATGGAATGAATTTCTATATTTATAATACATAATTTACAGTTATTAATAAATTACAAATCATCATCACTATCATTTTCCATTTTAGATTCTTGACCCTCTTCTATCATTCTTTCACTAAGTGTTAGCAACTGATGAATGAACTTGTCTTGCTCAACGGTTGTTCGTAAACAAAGTAACATCCTTCATTTAAAAATAAATAAATATTAAACATTGTACAACAATTATTAATTATACTTACTGTAAAAAATCTTGAAGATGTTTTTTGGTCGAATTTGGATGGCATAAAAGAACTAATACTAAACTCTAAAAAAATTCATTAATAAGTATATAATTTTACATATACAAACTTGAAGATAAATTAACAAATTTATAATTCACCTTCCAGACCAATGGCAAGAGATATTTATTTGTGCCCAGTAAGAATTCAATGCATTTTGCACATGCACTCCAATCATGTTTATAGATGCTTTTGTGAAGTTCAGCTAGAAGTAGGTGGGTGCTAGCTGGGATCCCTGTAAAAATATTCTTTAATTACAAATTAAAAACAAAATTGGTTAAAATAAATTAAAAATTTAACCACTTTTAGAACTGACAGCTTGATCATTATGACAGAAACTCATAATAGAAATTTTCCTTGTTTGTGAATATTTTTCAAGAGGAGGACGTTGCATGTGTTTTTCACGAATCTCTTTCAAAGCCCTCAGCTGAAAAAGAAGAAATATATTTTGAGATGTATTAATTACTGTTGATTTTTTGTAGTGGAATGAACAAGCATAATTGATAAATAAACTGCTTAAAAATGAATAGGGTTAATGCTAATTTTGTAGCATTTACTTTCTCAAGCATTTTTCTTTCATTTTTATTATAAATGGCATTAAAAATTATTGTTTTTTACTGAAGGAAAATTTAATTAAAGGATTTTGAAAAATAAAAGATTTTAATTAAATAATTTTGTTTATTGTGCAGAATAATTGTTTTAAACAATTAATACCGTGTATAATGTCCTATGTTAGCTAAACCCTCTGTGCACTGTTAGGCATACTGTTAATAACATCATTAATTTTATAAGGCATTTCACTCCATAGATGTTGCAACGCTGCACTGTTGTTCTAGGTGATCAAAACGTCTTCTCTGCCACACATCCCACATTTGCTCAGTGGGATTGAGGTTTGGAGGCAAAGGGAGAAGGGGCAGATGGGATATTCCCTGGTTTTCTAAAACTGATCATTAACTCTGCCTCTATGAGGTCTTCCATTGTCATCCAAAAATTGAAAATCCATGCCAATGAGATCCATGGTATCCTCAATTTTTTCTTGGACATGACGGACTGCGGTAGGTAGCCTTCAACAATATGGAGTCTGGTTCGTCCTCCAGTGTAAATCCCAGCCCAGACCATAGCACTGCCTCTTCCAAACTGCACTGAAGGCAGCACCAACAGGGGCATTGTAAGCATCCCCAGTACTTGGTAGACTCTTCGGTGTTTGCTATCACAATACGGAAAAACACGACTCATCAGTAAGCATAACAGTATTCCAATTGGTAGTCTCTTCTAGGCGCTCGCTGCACCATATTCTCCTGAGTTTCTGGTAGCGGGCTGTTGCTGCAGGCCATCTCAAAGGGGTATACGATGTGAGGCCAACCTCCCACAAACAATTATGAATTGTTTATATTGATAAAGCCCTTGCCAAAACTCTTTTTTTTTTTTTTTTTATACTTGTAGTCTTGTACTTCATTTAGGATCTGGCAGGCACTATAGAAAAGGTTCCGCCTTGCAGCAATGAGAATATTTCTGTCCTCCCTTAGCGTCGTAATGCACTGAGATCCACTACCAGGCCTCTTATTGGCATTTCCATTCTCTCAGAATCAGACTAAAGCCTGGGGGACGCTTTGAGAAATGCCACTGCGTTATCCACTTGCCAGCGACCTCAATAACTCATTCTCACAATAACATTGTGAACTTCTGGTTCAAGTAATTATTTAGAAATCGTGAGATGCCGTCTGGTGTGATGTAGGTTTCAGAAAAACATTTTCTTTATCGTGTCAATGTTTCGATCTTCATTGAGATCATCTTCAAATGGGCACTGTCAACATTACACGCAAGAATGGCACAATTACAAAGAAGACAAACACTTTGAGCCCTGAAGATGATCTCAATAAAGATCGAAACGTTGGCACGATAAAGAAAATGTTTTTCTGAAACCTACATCACACCAGGCCGCATCTCATGATTTCTGAATAATTATCAATTAACCGTCACTAATCACCACACATTTCTGGTTCAAGATTGTCTTTCCATAGTTAAATTGAATACAATTGGATTATCTTCTTTAGTAAAATGATTATATTCATATTTACTATTCCTGAGTAAATCCGTTATTAAAAACGAGAATTAACATTTGTTTGATTTTAATTTGTATTTTCAATTTTGTTTTATCCAACTAGCAATAATATTCTGTTAATTAAAACTAACAGAATAAGAATAAATTTCAAATATCCCTATTCGTTTTTTAGCAGTTTGTAATGATACAGCCATGCACACACATTTAAAAAGAATTTTTAAACAACGATCTCGTACCAACAACAGGCAATCTAAGAATTCCTTGCTTAATTTGAAAAAAAAATCATATTAGAGAAGTACAGAAGAAATTCAAAATTATTACAGATCCAATGTAATTTTGAAAAAGATGAACAAGGAATGCAGAACATAAAAGAGACAACTAAACTCCTGATTTTTTTATTAATAGAAACTATGAAATTGATTAATTCAGAACATACAATTAGGCGGTCTGTTTATTTACAATATTACTTACATAATTGGCTTTACTGCACGTTAAGGTACACATTTTCTTGTGTTTTTTCGGAGGCATAGTGTTTTAATGCAAAGCAATTTTCGTAAATTATGCTTTGTGGTTGACATCAACGATTGACATAGCAGCGTGGTGAACGATTTTTGTTTTCAAAACTGTCAGACTACTAAAAATACAATAAAATACAAATACCGCTACTAAAAATACAATCGGCCTGCTCGACACGGTACAGAGAACGGGACTTAGGCTGATCCGGTGCTTTCCGGAGCAGTCCCTCGTACAGCTTTCATGCAGATGCTGGAGAAACGCCTTTAAGTTTCAGACGTGACTTTCTTGATTTGAAGTTTTTTGCTAAAATCACTTCTTCTGTCACACCTACTAAATTGTCTATTTCCAGGGACTAGTCTGATATCTGACAGATCATCACGTGATTCTGTACGAAAAACCTTCCCGCAGTTCCCGCTCCGGATAAAAGTCGATTCATATCTACCCTCACAAAGCATGTCCAGCACATAGCGTGGCAGACACAAAAAACATCATTACATAAATACATACAAAACATATAGGAACGTTCATACTTAGCGAACGTTTGCACTTTGCGGAGCGTGTCTGCGGTTGTCTTTTCTCGTCTGAGACGTTCAATACAGTTAGTATGAATAGACGACAGACAAGATTTGTGCAATTCCAATAGCTTAGGTGCCTACCTATAATAAATTGCATTATAATTTTAATTATAAGGTCCAGCCTTGGTAAACCGAACTTGCGCTAATCCGAATCGCCGATCAGTACATATTCAAGATTTTTTTTTAAGTTTTATTTTGCAAAATATGTATAATAATAATATATAAGAATATAAATAATAATAAGAATATTATATATTATTTGCAATGAAATGTACGTAATTTGTAATACACGGACGTGGAAAAAATCCTGTCCATTGATTTTCTGAAGAATAGTTTGTTGGTCTGTAGGTGACTGTTGCTTTGATTGCCGCATAGTATGAATACGAGTGTCTGTGCTGTGTCTGCCACGCTACGTGTTGGACACGCTCTTGTACTGGTGGATATGAATCGACCTTAATGTATATACACACTTGCACGAATTACAAATACCCATAACTCCAGTACAAAAAGAATCAGTGGCTCCCATGCCTGGACATTTCCCAAACCGAAAATTTTGTATTCACTTGGAAAATATCGCAAAGCCCTTACACCTTTTCATGTACACCAGCAGGAGTTTTTGAAAATAAAAAATAGTAGCTACGTGATTTGCTCTGATGCGGAATCGGCCTTACATGCCTTGGAACACCCCTATTCAGATGATCCCAGTGTGCAGGAGGTACTGGCGTCACTGGAGAGCCTCCAACTGCAGGGAAGGAGCGTTTATTTCATCTGGGTTTCTGAACATGTAAATATTAAAGGAAACCATTTGGCTGATGAAGCTGCGAAAGAAGCAGCCATTACAGGCCTTCAAATCAGGGACATCCCAAAGGATGATATGACTGCAGTTTACAAGTCAAAAGTTAAGGGTCAATGGAAACAAGTCTGGACTAATATATACGGGAAATAAAGGACTCTGTAGATGCATGGCCTACTTCATTCAGAAATAGTAGAAGGAAAGAAGTGGTTCTTGCACGGTTGAGTATTGGACGCTGTAGAGTCAGTAAGGGTCATTTGATGGGGTGAGACGCACCTCCAATTTGCGGAATGTGCAATCAGATCGTCACAATCAAACATATATCATGCACAATATATACAGCCCATAGACTTCTGCACTCCTTGCCTATAAGCATCCAAGAAATGCTAGGCGACAACCACGATAGTATACATAATTTGTTTAATTTTCTTAAATCAGCAAATCTACTCGACAATATATGAGCTTCTCAAACTGTTTGTTCTTCACTTTTTTGGAATAATAATAAAAGGAAGAAGGAGGGAAGGAAAAGGGGAAAATAAATTAACAAAAGAAGTAAATATACTAGTTCAGATAGATAAAGATAATATGATAATAATAATTTTTTAAAAAACTCAGAAATCAGACTTGTGAAAAGTGGAATAGTAGGAATATATTCAAAAACAATGAAAACCCGCCGTACTGGCCAGGATGACGTTTAGATAGAAAATTTACCAAAATCTTAGTCACTTCTTTGACAAGTAACATTTTGAATTATGAAAAAGCAAGAATTCATCAAACTGTTGAAAAATAAAATGATATTGCCAGACAGATTTAGCAAATATTAGCTTTATATATTTACCATTAGCTTCTACTAATACTCTTGGACCATAAAATATAATACAGATTTATTTCCGGACCAACAACATGAATATTTTTTTTTTTAAATAGTTATTAATCTTACTTTACCCTAATACAATTCAAAAATATACCCAATTCAATGTGAATGAAGGATAGAAAAAGAAGAATATAGCTATCATGTCAAAATGGTAAGTTCAAACACCATTAGCTCAAAAGATGGTGCTGAATTGCAAAACAAAACTAAACTCATTAGATATGCAAAACAAAGTCAGCCTCTGATGGGTCCCAGGACTTGTGGGAGAAGACCCGAGTCTTTCTGTGGCATAGGAATGCATACGTAGTAGTTAAATGCATAGTAAGCACCTCAGACATGCAAATAAAAATAAAATTAGGGAACAATGGTTTGAACACAAACTTTGGACAGAAAAGGGTAACAAAGTTTGACTGTATTAAAGGGAGCAGGAAAAACTTGCGAATGCTAACAGGATTCTTAATTGGACACTGCAAACTAAATGGACTCCTCAAGAAGATTGGCATAACCCAACTCGGCACATGCAGATTCTATAAAACTAGCAGAGGAAACATTCCAACATTTCCAACATATTGCGGTACTACACTTGCCCACAGGATGACATACAATGTAACTATAGAAGAGATCCACTGAAACTGGGTCTACTACTTAAGTTTCTTGATGATCTAGAACTGACCAGTGTGCTTCAAGAACAGAAGAGGGATGCAAATAGCTCTTAAAGAGCGCAATATGATATATTGTTATTTCAATAAAAGTGGCATAAAATAAGCTATAGTATCGAATTGTACAATAAATCTATGAGATTCTCATTTAAAATTACAAAGTAAGATGAGAAAGTTCTGTTAAATTTCTTACCACCAAGGGATTCTTATTCAAAATTAACTTGGAGTTTATATAAGACCCTTTTTTGCTGAAGTTAATCGTTTCCGAATTAAATGAGTGCACTATAGAAGTTGATACACCTTGTATTTCCATATTTAACTTTGTTATTTCTAATAAAATTTTTACTGAATATAATTCAACTAAGTTTGCACAAGATACTCTTATTTTTACTTGCTTAATGAACATGTTTGTTATTATTTTCTAATATTATTTGTATAATATTTTAAAATATGTTATATTAATTTAAAAGTACAATTTAAAAATTTACAATAACGTTCTAAATTTTAGTTGTAATTTTATTTTTTGCATACTTTTGGCACATTGATAAATATTATCATTTTTAGGTACATTTATATGAAAAATTCTTTTAAGCTATTTTCTTACTTTACATATTGTTTAATACTTAAGTAATTTTTCCTTTTCTTTCTTTTTCTTTTTTAATGTTATATTTTATAATTGTATATTGTCTTTCTATATTTAAACATTTTTGTAAATTGTATTAATTCCGTATATTTTTATTATATATTATATATAGTAATAATCTATAATATATTATTATTGTGAAAAAATAAAGCTAATGAATAATTACTAAATAAATAATAATATCGACAGAAAAATATCGATTATTGGATTGGAACCTGTACTAAGACTAACCATTAACTCAGTTACCTACCGGCTACCACTCCTACCAGTTTAAACTAGTGTGTTGACCACGTGGTTTCTTATTCAAATTAATTTGGTTTGTATAATTTAATTTTTACCCCGTTACTTAGTCGAATATACACAATTAAAGTACTACTTACATAAATTGTTTGCAGATAAATAATTAAAACTGAACAATGAAGGTGCTTTCTGAAGAGCAGACGGCCAAGGTTTTTGAAAAACTCGCCAAATAGTAAGTTATCAAAAACATTTGTCACCAGTATTTATTACGTTTCTAAACAAACGATTTTTACAGCATTGGAGACAACTTGAAGTTATTGCTAGACCGTCCTGATGGGAAATATTGCTTCAGGGAGAAAAAAACTAGGGTTTACTACATTTCTGAAACCGTTCTCAAATTAGTTGGAAATGTTGCCCCGAACAACTTGGTTTGTGCTGGTACCTGCATTGGTAAATTTACCAAATCAGGAAAATTCTTGTTGCACATAACGGCTCTTAGCTATTTAGCACCCTACGCTCAGGTAGGTCGGGATTTTAATACTTAAATTTCACTTATTAATTGGATATAATTTGTGTTCAGAATAAAATTTGGGTGAAACCCAATGCGGAACAGCAGTTCCTTTATGGTCACAACATTCTGAAATCTGGCTTGGGAAGAATAACAGAAAATACAGAAAAGCATCAAGGCGTTGTCGTCTATTCGATGAATGACCTACCTCTTGTGAGTATTCACTAAATAAGCTATAGTTTTACAATTTATTGAAGGTTAAGCATGCACGGTGATTTATCTCAGGAATACTCCGGATCACGATATGGTCTTGACGTAAAAGCAAATTCATTTGTTACTGCCCTCTGTGTGGCGCAGTGAAAAATGTTTTAGAGGAATGCGAACGATTGGCACTGCACAGAGTGGTGTGGCCTACCTGATAATACAGTCCCAACTTTCCTAACAATTGTAGCAGTAAGGGGTGATGTATGATCACGGAGTTAGAAACACTTGACAAGAAGATGCATGCTAAAACAAGTGATCACTTCTGCCACAATTTAGATTTACCTAGGATATATTGCTCCACATTAAAATAATATATATTATGTCCGGAATCTCAAAAACTGTTTGTAAATAGGATCATCGGTTTTCAATTTATGATCAAAGAAGCTGGTACTTATGAAAAGGGACACCTGAGTACATTTGGTAAATAAAATACCTATCTTTAAAGAAAATTTTTGTCTTCTTAGAACTGTTGTTTGATTCTGGCTACATCTTAGCCATGGACACAAAATCTCGTATTTGTATTAAAGTAGGTTTTCCATCTTGCATCCAAACCAACAGCAATCTGGTGGGTGCATACTCAGTTGAGTCTGGGCATTCCATTGTGCTACAAACTCGAACTGTCAGTTGACCATTACAACGTTTTCAGGCCAGATTTGTGACATCAAACATGTGCACTGTTTCCCAGCACTTTCACACTCATCAAATTGCAAAGTTCTTACTTAACTACACACTGGATTTATATGGCAAATTAATTATATTATACGTGTACTTAAGAGAAACAAATTAATCATTAATTTAAAAATATTTTCTTACAGTATTTATTAAGATAATACAGTTGTGTTCATGTTCATTCATGTTCTTGCACATTCAAAATTGTGCAGCATTAAAACCAGCTTCTCATAGGAACGTCGTGTTGGCCGGGATCGGCAGGTCCACTCTTACAATTTATGTCAAGTGACGTATTGGTAACTCCTTCAGCCTGATGATGAGCACATAATGCTTGAAATCCGGATAGTTGTAAACGAGAATCTATGAGTAAGAACCATCATTTGAAAAAAGGAAATTTTGTTGTTTCAACACCATAAAATTAAAAAAAAAAAACTTGTTCATAGGAAGGGATCAATGAAAGAAAAACCAAAACTGGTATAATGAATTTTATTTGTATCTATAATACATATTATATATACACACATATGTACATATACTCATACATATGTACATATACATAATACATATATTTTGAAAAAATTAAGAACAAGAGTTGAATTTTAACCACAGTCCATGAATGTTTTATAAAAAAATCAAAAGTAATTTTAATTAATTGATTACATTAATAATTCTGAAGCAAAAATAAAAGTAAATTGTGGTTTAAAATTAATTACAATGAAAATTTACCTGAGAAGTATATTTTAACTTATAATGTAAATGAATTTCAATTAATTCATATTTAATTTATCCTGTGTTTGTTTATTCAGTAAATAATGACAAAAATTTGTTTAAAGTAAAATTTTGAAACAATAAGTTGGACAAGTAGCTCAGGTAGTGCCTTAATAAAACTGTTGAATAAACCTGCCGTAGACATAATTAAAAAAAAAAAAAAAAATCAACTATAGACATATCAAAAAGTTTATAGTGAAAAATTATAAAATTGACAATTTTTGTTTAAGTTTAATCTCTAATTTTCCTTTGACAATTACAAAAAAATTAATTAGCAAAAAAAATTGTTTTGTTAGAAAACTTTTCCATGTGGTTTTTTTTAAATAAAAAATTAAATACATTACTTATTTACATTTATTTGGACATAACAGGAATTTGCATCAATCAGCAAATATATTGTTAAAAATATATAAGTATAACGAGGATATTAATATTTTACATTTAACATTTTAAAGTTTAAAAACAAGTGAAAATGTTTTCTAACAAACCCCAAAAACTTTAACTAAGAGAAATTAGTCTTAAATGTTCCATTAAAAAAAACCTTATAAGAATTTTTTGTGAATTAATGAAAATTAAAGAAATTAATATACTTTAACAAGTCCAATTTCAATTTAATTAATATTTTTCAATAAATGTGTTTTTTCAACTTTAAACAATGTAAGAATGAAGTTTAATTACAGTAGAACCCCAGTAATTGGAATTAATAGAGATGGGTGTTTCAATTAGTGAATGTGAGGTAATTTTAGAACAATAATGTTAACAAAGTAAAAAAAAAGTTCATATTGTACTGATTGCAGGAAAGAAAGATTAATAATAAAAAAAATGAAAGCCCATGTGGCTATTTACATATTATTAAAAACAACAGATCTTGTTACCCGATTTTATCCCCCCTTCCCCCGAGTTTTTTGTACTATACGGGATTCTAAGTATCGGGGTTTGGCCAATATGCTAGACCATAAGGCCAAAAAAAAAAAAGTATCGGGGTTCTACTGAAAACAAAAAAATATAAAATATTACCTTGATACGTGGTAGCATAATATTGCTGTACGCATATTTTTTATCTTCTTCCACAAACAAGCTTTTACAACAAATTTATATGTATCACATAAAATTAGTTTTTAAATTTTTTTTTTTTTAATATCTGATATCACTAAACTTTCTCAAACATTTATAATAAAAAATTCTTTGAAAAAAAATATTTTTAAAAAAGAATGTAGTAACTAAAACTAAATGTATTTTAATTTAAAAAAAAAGAAGATATATACCCCAAATGTGTTTACAATTAAAATTACAACGATTATCAAGTTCTTGTAATGGTTGTTAAGTGTGCCCTGTTAAGATATAAAGATTTTTTAACTTATACATTATTTACATTAATGTGTTTGTTTTCAGGGGTTTGGTTTAACTGGAAAAAGTACTACTGAATGTAAGCATGCTGATCCGCTTACAATTGTCTGCTTACATCAGTCGGACGTAGGAGAATACATTAGATCAGAAGATACTCTGGCATAATTTTTTTTTTCATTTATGTATTTTTTTTTTTTTTTTAATTTTCGACTTATGTATATAATATTTTGAATAATAATTATTTTTTAACTTAACATAATAATTTTTTCTAAATATTTTTCCCTTTATGTAACAAATTAACACCTACAAGAAAAAAACAAACAAAACAAATGCTTGTAGAACATTACCCTGACTTTATGATATATTAAAAAAGACATCATAATGAAATGTAGGTAAATTAATTAGAAACACTGGCACTTTTGAAAGAATATAAGAAATAATGGTGAAAAATAAGTGTTAAAGGTCATAAAACTCTGGCGTGCTGTTTGTTTGTTTGTTGTTTTTGTTTGTTTTTTAAATTGTCGACCATATCAATAAAAAAATTACTGTTTCGATTATGTTAAAAGGTTTTAAGCCAAATTCAAAATTTCTCATATACAGCTCATTTTTTGTTTTTGGAGAATATGAGCTTTCATAAAATATTTTTAATAAAACCCTTGTTGACAAAAATATATGTATACGTATAAAAAGGGGGATTTTTTATTAATTGCCTGTTTTCACTTCCTCTTGCCACGGAGCATGAAGCTGTTACTGCCAAAACAACTTGACATTCTCCATTAAGCTCTTCCCTCTTTGTGAGGGGAATTTTCTGTACTAAAATTTTAAAGTTCGGACATCTAGGGGAGTAATTTTCCATCTCTAATGTGGCAAAATAACATTTTTTAACTTATAAATACTTAGTTATTTTTTTCTTTTATTTTTAATACATTATTTGCAATAAAAACGATTACTAATAATAGCCACCCCCTCAACAATGGGACATTTTGCCTCATTTGTAACAAATGTATATTATGTAAATATGTGAATATATATGATTGTCCGAACAATTAAATGGGATTAATATAACTATAATAAACCTTTTTTGTTTAGTCTATTCCAAATTCTTTGTTGAGTTTTTCCAAATTTCTGAAAGACAAAAACAAACATTATACGTTGATTGTATTTGTATAAATAAATGCATTTTTAACTACAAAAGTGTGTTAAAATTATTAATTACCTTGTGTTGAGAGTTTCAATAAAATCTGTTCTTTCGAGGAGGGATACAACGACTAATCTAAGAGTGTTCCATATTGTATCTGACATTTGTGGTGTACTTGATCCTTGAGGTCCACAGCCTGCGGCTTGCTGGTTCAAAGCAATTAAAAGATGTTCAGCTGCTTCCCTGAAAGGAAGATTATAAAAAGTGATAACTGAACACAGTTAAATAATTTTTTATAGAATATTTACTTATGGGCACCAAGACGAATGCAGGCAATACCAAGGTTGTACCTTGCCCTTATAAAACCAGGCATCAACTGCAAGGCACTTCTATAAGCATCTATAGCTTCTTCTGACCTTGAGCCGTTAGCGAGTGTTGCTCCTAGTCTGTTCCACATCCTTGCATCCTAAATAAAATTTTAGCATTTGTTAATTACATTGAGAGATATTGTTATAATTTCTTACGTTTGGCCGAACTTGAAGGGCGGCTTTAAAACAATCGGCAGCTTTATCCGTTTCCATTGATAAATTGTAAAGAACACCTAAACCACATTGAACATCGGCGTCTATCACACCAGTAGGATTTCTCCTGGCTGCCTCGAGAAACATTGTTTTCACACTTTCGTGTAATTCCCTTGAAAAAATTATTAACACATTGCAATAAACCTCAATTAACTTTGTGATTTACACTACAACAATAAGCAATATCCCCAAATCAAACCTAGATAAGATAGATGAAATTCCATACAATGGATGAAATGGAGGGTTCCAAGTCGGATTCTGCTGGGTGACTGTCGGAGGAACAAGGTCAGCATATTTTTCATTCAATCTTATCCATTCCTATAACACAACAACATATACCATTTTAATAGTTCTTTTATATAAAATGGTTACAATTTGATCAAAATTACCTTCAACGCTCGACATGCTTGGTTTTGGAAATTTTCATTTGTGTAACAAACAGCTATTGACATAAGTGCTACTGAGTTACTGGGCTCAAGGCTTAGACATTTCTTTAAAGCGGATATAGCTTGGGGATCCTAAAAATAAATACTAAAGTTGACACCACACCAAACATTTCAATGCAAAAAAATATAAGATTTTAACAAGTCACATACTTGTTCATTTTCAGCTTGAGTAGTTCCTAAAAGTTGCCAAGCAAGTGGATTTTCTGGTTCCTTCAACACCGCCGCTTCAAAACACAGCACGGCACTAGGTAATTCACCTGCTTCTAATTTCTTCCTGCCTTCCGCTAATGGGTCGGCCACTTCCTTCATGGGATTATCCTCTTCAAATTTATAATCCTGAATCCAAAAAATTCATTGTTAACTATACAAAAGGACTTAGTTAATTGTTGTTGACAGTAGATGTTTCTGTTTGTTGTCCTTGTATAATTAGGTTAGAATTTTATTTTTCATATTATCATTTAAATTATTGTGTGGTATATTCATACATTTCTGTTTTTGAATATTTTGTACACATAAATGAAATATTTGATATGCAATATATACCTTATAGGTAGAGTAATCAGACTGTTCTGATAATGTTTTCCATATATAATCGTTAAATTCATCATGCATTTGCTTTTCACCCTGGTTTGATTCTACAATAAACAATATCTTTTACATAACTGATTTCTTCTACACAAATTTAGTACGACACAAACCTTCATTCACAGAGTTATTTTCTCTTAAAAAACTTTCTTCCCATGTTGAAGGAATTTCGTTTTCGTGTTCAAACTGTAAACTCCAGTGTTCCGCTGTGGAGTCTGTTTGTGGTGTTTTCTCCGCAATCGATGATTCACCCTCGTTAATTTTTTTCATAAATTTCATAAACTGAAATAGTAATTACATAAAACATAAAATTGCATTAAGACGGTAATCATACGTCGCGGCACTCACCTTAGAATTGGAAAATAATGGATCACCTTCTGTAGTCTTCAAAATATCACCTGCGACTTCTTTTAGATCACTAGTTGAATCAAAATAATCCTCAGAATTTGATAAGTCTCCTAATATTGGCTCCTCACTAGAAACAACATGGTATACATTAGCAAATTTTAGGACAACATTCTAAATTGTTATTATAGGGTACACATAGTACATTTACAAAGGGGGGGAAAATACATATACACCATCTTCACTGATTTTTTCTTTGACAGATTACTCGCCAAGTTCACAGTCATCCAGACCACTCCATTTCTGAGCTTACAAAAGAAAAAAAGAAAAAAAAACCCGCTGAAAATGGTCTATATTAGACCGAAACGCGTCTGACGAAATAAATGCCTATTGTGGAAAAGTCAATTTATTTCCTACTCATCATCTTATTAGTTGTTCCATAAAATAAGAATGGACACCATCAAAAAATTAATAGATGTAAATAATAGAAAGTTTGAAAGTATTTCATACTCTCATAAAGTGTGATGCTATTCTTGTGGTTGAAATTGTTGTGAAACGTGAATTTCATGTGAAACAAATCTGAGAATAGCACCACATTTTATGTGAGTATTCTCGGTTCAAAATTTCTATTATTTACATCCAGATTGTATAATTATTATTACTATTATTTTTTCATGAGTGTTTTTGAAAAAAATCCATTTGTAAGTATGCCAGACGGTTTGATGCAGGGCCGCTGGATTCGAACCCAGAACCTTTATCTTACAGTGATGAGCACTGTGTCAACACCTAAATCGTTGCAACCTCTGTCGCCCCCTTGCATAATAATAATAATAATTATTTTTTCAATTGACGACACATGTTTTGTAATTCAACCAGGTCCTAAAGATGACCCAACTAAAGGTCAAAATGTATGCAAATTTTGAGTAAATTAAGCAAGTAAAGTAAATTTTGAGGGTTAAAAAATTGTAAAAATTGTCATAGTTTAAATGTTTACTATTAGCATCAGTCAAAACAAATAAATTTTCTTTCAATAGATTAGAAATGAGAATTCACAATAATACAATGACAGCAACAAAACCCGGTCTTTCCTCTACCTTTGACATAGCAATATGGGTAAAATCGGAGAATATTGTGTTATTTTCAAAAATCAGATAATAAATTACATTCTAAAGGGCTTACCTACTGGACAAATAGTGAATAAATTAGAAATTAGTTTTAGTACTGTTAGAAATGTTAGTGACCGTTAGTCAATGATTAGTTGGAGATTGTGAGATGCGGCCTGGTGTGATGTAGGTTTAGAAAAACATTTTCTTTATCGTGCCAACGTTCGATCTTTATTGAGATCATCTTCAGGGCCTGTGATTTATAAACATTGTTTAGATTATACAAATACATGTAAGATGTGAAAAAATGAATTTATACAATGTTATAAATTTTAGGAAATTCTAAATTCTCACTGTTGAGAAAGAGCCCTCTTTATCAGCCACCAGGATAGCAGAAGAGGTTGCATCTTCTGCCATAACCACCTTCTGCTAATAGGCAATAAGAAATTCAATTCACAAATGTAATTATTGTGGCAGGGTCCAAAGGAAACAACCTTTTATATCAGAGAAGAACCGCAAAAAGACTTGTTTTTGTTGAAACTTATTTCAAGGGTATAGAATTCTGCAAAAATGTTATTTTTTCAGATGAAAGTAAATTCAACATTTTTGGATCTGATGGCTGCACATACGTTTGGCGAAAACTGAATACTAGTTTAAAGCTCACCACGTGAGAGCCCACTGTAAAACAGGGAGGTGAAGGTGTCCTTGCTTGGAGGTATGTCATGGAATGGTACAGGAAAATTGACCTCCATTGACAATATTAATATAATAATTATATTTTTGAATTAAATTTCTTATTGTCTATTAGCAGAAGGTGCTAATGCACGCAACCTCTTCTACTATACTGGCGGCTAATAAAGTGGGCTCTTTCTCAACAATGCGGTGAATGCGTTCCTTTGTTCCCTTTCACTAAATTTTGATGGCCGTCCTGAACGAGATTTGTTTAAAACTGAACCTGTCTCTCTAAACTGGCTTACAATTTTTCTAACAGTTATTTGGAGATCGTGAGATGCGGTCTGTTGTGACGTAGGTTTTTTGAAAAACATTTTCTTTATCGAGTCAAGTTAAACAATTGTAGTCAATTATACAATGTTAGAAATTTTAGGAAATTCCTGAAAATTGTGGGAGAACACGCTCTGAGAAACGCCAACTGCCTCTGTGATATCCACTTGCCAGTGACCTCGATGTCTCATTTTTACAATAATATTGCGAACTTATGGTGCAAGATGATATTTTTCCATGGTTAAAGATAATACAACTGGATTAAAATGGAGAAAAGACGAGAAAAGCTGTTCATTTTTAAAATAAATAATCTTCATGTTTTCAATTCTTAAATACATCCATTATTAAAATGAGGATTAACATTTGTTTGTTTTTGGTTTGCATTTTCTATTTTGTTTTATCTAACTAACAAGAATATATCGGTTAATTTTTTTAAAATTAATAGAATAACAATAAATTACCAATATTCCTATTTATTTTTGAGCAGTTTAGATGCCAATAGTAATGATGGCAAAATATTTGTGCTATCCAGTTCATAAAAACCTATAAGTAAAAAACAAAGTGTGCCAATACTTTTTCGACAGAATAAAAGTGAATTTTTTAAAATTACGTTTTAAGTAAATTTTTCAGTTTTCTTTTCGAATTATTTCGAATTCTTAATATTTTATGAAATAAAAATATCTAAAAAATAAACTTTTGATTTTTTAAAATTGAAACCTAAAAAAAGTTGTGCGCCAATACTTTTTTGATCTACAGAACATGTTCAGTTCCTTGTCCTCAAAGCATTAGTTCTTAGTTAAACCGCTGAAACAGTAAAGAAGGTTATGTCGGAAAATATGTGAAACCTCGTGGTAAAAGGTAGCGATCTAAGTTGTCAAGGTATTCGGTACTGAACAGATTTATTACAGTTAAAAGTCGTCCAATATGCGAAAATTAAAATATCACGAGAAAAAACTACTCAAGAAGGTGGATTTCCTTTGCTGGGAGGCCGACAACAACATCCACGAGGTGAAAATTCTGAAAAAATACTTCGTTCAAAAACGTGAAGACTATACAAAATACAACAAGCTGTCCAGATCTATCAGGGAACTCGCCAATTCCATAAAAGAGCTTGACAAGGACGATCCGTTTAGGATAGAAGCGTCGGCGAGCCTGTTGGAGAAACTCTACATGATGGGTCTCATAGAGACGAAATGGGACCTGGAGAATTGCAACAAGGTGAATGCATCATCATTTTGTCGAAGGCGTTTACCCGTAATGATGGTGAAAAGCAAGATGATCAGGAATGTGAAAGATGCGACTAAACTGATTGAACAAGGGCACGTACGAGTGGGCACCGAATTGATCAAGGACCCGGCTCTTCTTGTGACGAGGAACCTGGAAGATTTTATTACTTGGATCGATACATCTGCTATACGAAAACATGTCCTCGAATACAACGACATCAGGGATGATTTTGATCTTATGTGATTTTAGCTTTCTGTAAATTCCATTTGTTACACACTGTACATAATTTAATTCTTAAACATAAATATTTTATAAAGTTTGTCTCTTTTATTCGAAAGAACCAATTTTGGTTACCCTGTTCTGAATTTAGGGGAAACAAGTTAACCTCCTGTAAATAGACAGATGCCTCGCTTGCTTGAAATATTTATTTATTTTAACATATTATTAAATATATTAAATTAATATATATTAAATATATATGATAAAAAGAATATTTACATCATGCCATGGCCAATGCTTTTGTTTATACTGTTGGTTTGACCAATAATTTGTGTATACGGTGATGGAGGAATCCTAAGTACTTCCTACTTAATAGAATGACGTGTAGGTAGGAAAAGTGTGAATTCTAAATTTGCAATGATTGATGACATTTTTATTGATAGGTGACACTACAAATTGTTTGTGCAACACAATGTTAATTGTTAAGGCACTGGTCACAAAAAAAGTTTATACAAGAAGGAATACTGTCTCCATTGCTTTATGCATTTTACATGAGGTATTGAAAAATCTCTTCCTGAGATATATCCTTGAATGAGGAGCGTCGCTCATCACTGTAAGGTGAAGGTCCCAGGTTCGAATACAGCGACCCTGAATTTGAACCCAACGTTCTAACACCAGTTCCACAGTGTTCATATAATCTCATTGTTGAAATAACCTTCTTAAAAAAAATTACAACTAATTGAGAAATAGATGAATGTGAATGGCACTAGTGGAATGAGCTACAATTTCACTCAACATATTTTTGTCCTTTTCTTTTGTTTTGTCTATATCCGTAGAAAAATCATGTATTTGTCCATTTACTTGGAAGAAATCAATAAACATTATGCCAATCATGCAGCTGGGTATGCCGCATAAAGTAAAATGCCCGGGCTTAATTTTAAAAAGGTTGCTTAAATGGACCACATTATTTCTTATGTAGAATATCTGAATGTAATGATAATCAGGAGTTATATTGCTCTTTTATGTCAATGATGCAAGCACTGTTAGATTATGCATTATGTTAAAATGACAAGCTAGTGAAATGCGTTATTTAGCGACTGGTTGTTTAATAATTTTTTGAAGTAGTCAGGAATAAAGTATTTGAAAAACACCTTTTCCATTTTTTTGCCAATGTTTCAACCTTTAGTCAGGTCATCTTTCAGGATGAATTAAAAAATATTTGTTCACTGGAAAAAATAATGATACAATGCAGATGTAAATATTATTCCATAGATAAATCGTGGTGCTATTCTAATGGTGTCATGTTTGTAGTGTGTAAATACCTACTGTCTCATAATGGACAGATTCTTATGATTTCGAGAGACACTCCCTCTAAAGGACTTTACTGCCCAAACTGTCGAGCAATGACTCTTCACAGTTTGGATCTCCTGATATGGCGATCCCTGAGACTTAACATCTGACAGAGGTCGACAGTTTGAATTAGAAGTGTTCACATCATTGACAAATATTTGGAATTAATCATTTCTGCACTACAGTATATCACCCTGCATCAAATGGCTTGGTAGAACGTTTTCACCGGCAACTCAAAGAAGCCATAATGTGCCATCAAAATAGCATCTTGGGCAGACACCTTGCCAATCATAATGTTAGGAATATGGTAGGCAGACGAAGAAGACCTGCAACTCCTGAAGAAATGGTTTTTGGATTGCCTGGAGAATCTTTGCACCAAAATGTAACGCACATAAGCAACCCAGCAGATTTCATCATGAAATTAAGCGAGCATTTTCAGAATCTAACACCAACGCAGACATCAAGGCACACTATTTGATGGCTTTAAACCGGCATACATTCTAAACAACAGCGAGCTACTACACTCGGCCATTGAGGTCCCCAGACGTAAACCATAGAACACAAAACACTCATCATGCAGTGGAAGAATTGTACTTTTTCCAAAAAGGTTTACTGATCTCTATACATAACTTTATAATACATTTTTAAAAAAATATTTTTATTATGATGTCCTTCATTACTGCGAAGAGGATTATGTGGCAACCCACCAAACTTGTAATTTGTTTCCAGCCACCAGGAGCAGGAAGGCTTCCATATGGTGTTTGCACATTTCAAGTGGCAGCATCGGTGGGCCAGATTGGCAGAGAAACTCTCATATATCAAGAGACTTTTGATAAGTAGCCTTCAGAGGATCTGAACCATAGAAGTGGGATCATTCTCCTATTAAGGATAGGCCATGTGAGGATGACACGTGCTTTTGGGCCAAAGCATGCATATTTGTCCGGCATGCAGAGAAAGGTTGTTTGATGTGTCTCAGCTAATTGAAGGATGCAATTCCTTGGCTCCATATAGAGTGTGCCAGTTATGAGAATTATACTTGAGCATGGCATTAAGCATTTGGGTCCCCTGTACTAATTCTTGGAGAACCAGTGTTACTCTATTGTGTACAGTTCTTTGTAGATAACTCGTTTTGTTTCACTGTGTGTGTACGTTGAGAGAAAATGCATAGTAAATATGAGGAACTTTACTAATGAGAGGGTCGATAGTGGAATATTAAGTGCTCATTAACCCTCAATTAGATTAGTTATACACTCAAAGATCGGAAAAAAAAAACCCAGACACTTGTACTTATTTATTTTCTATAATAACTAAAAGATCAATAGTTGACTTAAAACTTAAACTCAAAATTAATAACTTTTTATTTAACAAGGGTATTTCAACTACGAGGTTAACACCCTCAGGGTGCTGGTGTTTTTCCCCCTGGGTTTCCCTTGGGATCTTTTTGATGAGCACTGTGTCAACGCCTAAACCATTGTGGCCGTCGATGCCCCTTAATAACTTATTTTCTACCTTTATAGAGTGTTATTAATACTTTTAACTTTTTAAAAATAAAATTATTTATTATCTACTTTGATGAAAAATAAAGAAAATGAGTTCCAATTTCATCCTTTCTAGAGCCAACTTGTCGAGTGAGTTGATTTTTTAAATTGTTGTCTTTATTGAAACAATAATTTGAATAAAAAAATAATTATTAAGCATGGTTTTAGTGACTGGGAGTTTGTGGCCCTGAAAAGGGCCGGTGATGTTTCGTAGCATCAAGACGATAGATCGAGGCCAAGATCGTGTGTGTGGTACAGTAAACCATTGGCTGAGGTCCGGAGGCCATGAGTCAGTCGGTTGACTCCTCAGAGGCCGAAGGTACTGGAGTGCAGCAATTAGCCGAGAGCAACAGTTGGCGTTTATAGCCAAGTCGGCTGTGTTTAGTACGTGAGAATCAGGCTAATGCTGCAAGTACCCTTGCTGTCATCAACAGTGTTCCATTAGTGATTTGTGAGAGATCGTCGGGTAGACAAGTCTGGTTTCAGTGGAGCAGGCCCCTGCTTATATATCGGAACTCTGATTGGCTGCAGTATGGAGGGCGTGAACATTCCATAAGTGGTAGGGCATCTAGTGGTAATGTGGTAGCTACAAGTGGCCACTATAATGGTTTTCAGACAAGAAGATCATTTTATTGCTCTGACCACTCTATAGAACCATCACCTTAACAGCAACAGCTTCCTTGAAAAGTGAGGTCTAAAACCGTCAGCTTCTAAACCAGGCTTCATGAGAATAGCCTAGCCTCTAGTTGTTGTATCATGTTCTATTACTGGAGAGGCATCGAGTAGAAAGGCAACTATTTGCCAATCAGCAATTTACTTGGACAATTGAACAATGGCGAGCTATGCTCTTCACAGATAAGTGACAGCTTTGTGGCAATGAGATGACCGGGACCTTGGAGAGTGGAGAAGACATGAAGACCACTTTGATTCATGTGTCATGAGTGAGTCAGCCTTTTCAAACAGTCATTTATTATATGGGATGGAATTATTGTCCATGCCCACACCAAACTGATTATTATGGTCCAGAATGGAGTGTTGACTGCACTATGGTGCATGTTCTTCTGAAAGTGCCATTGTATGGGACAACTTCATGTTAATGCTTCATAATGCTCGACCGCATGTAGCTAGAGTTGTCACCCAATCCCACCTTGGAGGATGTTGGGATTACAATGAATTGGCCATCACGTTCTCTTGACATGAATCCTACAGAACATTTATGGGCATGATAAAGGATAGATTAGACATCTTTCACTGCCTCCATCAATAGATTGAACATCTTCAAACTGCTCTTGTTGAAGAATGAGATTCTATTTTGGAAGACGAAATCTGATCACTTATTAAACCCCCCCCCCCTAAAATCAAATTAATTCTTGTTCACATTTCTTTTGTAAAGGCTAAAAGTAAATTTGCACCTTTAAAAATCCTTTCTATACCTTGTCTTGAAACTTGTTGCTTCTGTCGACATTTGTAAAACCCTACACTATGGGCTTATTTTACAACCTAACATTATTTAAAAAATATATATATCTAGCCACATAAATATTTATCATAAAAAATATTATTATTTATCAGTGTTTGTTATAATTTTTTCAACAAGAAAAACTAAAACACTGAATCTTTATTAATCTGAGTATGGTACTAAAATATAACAAAATCCATTGAACAATAGGTCAATTGTTCCAAATTTTCCCTATCATAACAGTAGACGGCAACAGAGTGAGAAAGAAGAAATAGTTTAAACATTAGAATGGAATAGATAACTAAGGACAGAATACAATTAGATAAATATCCCTTATCTCAAATGTTTAAAAAAAAATCAATCAACAAGGGATTTAAAGATAAGAAAGTAAAAACGGGCTATAAAGTGGGCCACCAACCTACCTCATTACATCCTGATGCCTTTGGAATTCATCGGCCCACCTTGGGCCAATACCAAGGTCGAGGAAATCTTCACACACCTCTTGTCTGTCGTTTGGCTGTTCCATTGTCCAAATTCCGGGCTCAGCAACCTATAGAGTATTATTTAATTTAACAGAAAATTACATGTTTAGGTTTCTACAATTTTTACAATGTAATTTAATAAATTTAAGAAAGTGAATGGTTTGATTTTTGTCAAGCAATTGTATTTTTCTTTTCTTTTTTTTAATTTCTTGGATTATTGGATAGATATTCCCCACGACATAAATTCTTAAATAAAAATTATGATAAAGTGTTACAAACAAAGATAAAATTCAGCTTGAGCTATCTATTTCCAAGAATTTAACCTTCAATGTTTGCCCACTGTTGATGTTGCAACACAGACCTTGAAAAACTCATACATAAAAGCTGGGAATGTTAAGAATCAAATAAATGAAAATAATAAAATATAAAGAGTACATAAATTTTTTTCTTGTATAGCAATTAGACTCAACTATTAGGAAGTCATAATGGTAAATAGTTAGGGTCTCCAACTCGTATTTGCCACACTAGTGGTTCTGGGTTCTTCAAATCCCTATATACTCCATGGAATTTTAATTGAGATTAATATGCAAAAAGTATTAAAAATTGGTTTGACCCCTCTTCCATGACACCCAGCAGGTAGTTGGACATTAGGTCTTCCCATATGACAATATTTAATAAACTAATTTGCAACTTGCAAGTCATTTTACTTTTTAAAGAACTGTAAAATTAAAATCTCATTTTTTTCATGTTTTCAACTTAGTGGATTGGCAAAACAAAATTTGTTCTATGTTATTTAAAATGCTTCCATTGAGACATTCCAAACTATATTTGACATCAAACAATAAAAACAAATAGTCTTGCTGACCTAATTCTTCTATTTTGCCGGGCAATCTTGTAAGCAAAATTAATTAAGCTATTTAATTAAAGATAAAACTGCAATACAATTATTAGGCTTAATAGAAATAAATAAACTGAAAGCCATGTTAATAAAAGGGCTTTCAAATATTTTAGCTTTCAAAATTCTATTTTAAAACAATTCCTTTCACATTTGAACAAACATTAAATGGTAAAATAAGGAAGAATTGTTTTTCTGTTTCAACAAATAAAATTAACAAAATTATTAATATATATAAAAAAATACAAGAAAAAAGAATAATAATAAAAAACAAGTTTGAACAAATATTTGTTTACATACAATACAAGCTATCACACAGCCTAGCGACCTACTTATAAGAAAAACGTAACTCAAAAATGGCCATTTGCTATTAATACACGAAAACTTTCATTTGGATTATTTAAGAATTTTCAAAATGTGAAAAACAATTAAGAGAATTACTACATCCAAAGGTTCTTACATAAAAAATTCCATAAGTTTTAGATTCTGTAATTAAAAAACCAAACAATAATTATAGTATTTTTGTGTAAAAGCAAAAATAATTTTTATTTTTATTTTCCAATATACAATTCAGCAGTTATGCAATAGTGATAATAGTTGTGTTTATTTTATAAAGATATTACATAGTATATTTGTTAATAAATAAAATAACAATCTGGTTTTAATTTTACTCGAATCCAGTTAATTTTCCCTATTCATAACATCTTTAGCCTTGAAATATGTTTAAAAACTATGAGGAAACAAGAGAGGCCCAGAATTTATAGGAACAAGTGCTCAAATTAGAATGCGACCCAATTCTAAGTATACAGAAATAAATCAGAAATGTTGGATGGAATTTGTGATGTAGATTTGTGTAAATTGTATTTCCTTGAGATCGTAAATCATTAGATTGTAAAATTACAAATTGCTAACAATAAGTTTTATAAATCAAAGAATAAAATAAAATACATCAAAAGACATGATTGTAGAATATTTTTCAAATAAAATGCAATAAATTAAACAAATAAACAGAATATATATTGAAACTTACACTTACATCAAAATGTTTGCCAGCATCGATGTATTGTTGAGCCCAGGCCTGAACATCCTCCTCCCTCGTAAGTTGCGATACGGGTGGAGAGCTTACCGGTCCGACTTTCCCTTCGAGGTCCCTCATTTCGGCGAGAAGGGAATCCATCCGGAAAGGCTGAGTGGAGTGACCCATCGTCTCTTCGAGAAACTCTTGTACAAGCTGCGAAAAAACCAAATGCGGATTTATATTCGATATATCAGCCGAGTAAGAAGGGCCGGTCGTCACTGATGCATCGTTCCATACCTGCTCGGAGCTGGAGCTTGCAATGTGATCAGAATGTGGGAAGGCGTAGCCTTCATCTTTCAAACCCCTGTCTTGTACAAAATGTGACGTGAGGTTTACTAACGAATTTGCACCACCGCAATCACCCTCTACTAATTTTCTTAATGCCATTCTTATAAAATAATGTCTCCGTTTAAACAAATGTACGAGAACTGTTTATTATTTCAATTTTAAATTTATATATATTTTTTTTTTTTATTTATCCCTAGAACAAAAATGTCGATTAATACGTGGTACTGATCAGGTCCAAGATATATAAAAGTGCCTTGAATTTACAGCGGTTCTGTAATAAATGACTTACAATATCTACAGTTGGAAGGCTGTCGAAAAATTTAAACTAGAATCTGATGTGATGTGCTTTGTGCCTAAAACTATCCGGACGTCCTGTGCGAACTTCAATCCATTATATATCAATATTTGTTTTGTTCCGTGATTTATTAAAACCCGAGTGGAATGACTCGACTCGTTTACTCTGTATTACCTAATTAAATAAAAAAGGTTAAAATTCTCGACCTTGACACTCGGGTTTTACTATGCACAGCTCGCTAGATCACAGACATACAAACATGACATGCGTGTGCGATCGTTTCATTCGTGGCAATATTTATGATGTCATTGACGTTGCTACAGCCTTCGTCAGTGCAGTCCAATAATTTACCAATTATTATTTAACATTCCATAGTAAACCTTAGTGGAAATAAAAGTTTATAATATCAAACCAGACATACAAAAACTCAGGAAATACCAGCTCACTGCTTATGCATTACCGATAAAAACAGTATGTATATGATACATGCATCTATTATGCGTGTAGTTAACATGCATGTAAAATGGCGAGAAACCAGGATGTGTCTGATAGACAAATTGGAAAACACCAAACTACAAGTTCACCATCTCACAGACTCATCAAGACATCTCACAAACACTTGGGCATGCTCAACACGACAGACAAAAATGACACATCTACATGGAAAAACAAACACTTTGAGCCCTGAAGATGATCTCAATAAAGATCAAAACATTGGCATGATAAAGAAAATGTTTTTCTAAAACCTACATCACACCAGACCGCATTTCACAATTTCCTTATAAACATCTCACAAATGTAATACCAAACTTCACTTACAATCAATTGGCAAAAATATTGTAAAATGTTTTCAATAAGCAGACACCTGGGCTTGAATTTATATTACAAATAATTATTATTTTTTTTACAGCCATCAACCTTAGTGGTTAAGCATTGGTATCGTTGTGTGGATTGGAACAGGCCACGCATGAGGCCGGCGGATTGACCATCAAGCCTTTTCTTTTGTATTTAATATATTTTAAGGCATTGTGGTATGGTATAAAAACCATTTACAATATTACCTATGGAAAAGTCCACATCCTTTGGGAGTCCGGGGCATTCTTCCCTGGGATCTCCTGTGTCTCTCCCGCCTCGACCAGCAGATCCTCATTCCCTCCCAGTTAGTGAAGTTAATTGGTGAGTGTAGGATTGTCGCTAATGTATTAAATTGTAATGGATAGTGAGATCCATCCTTATCCACTATTCCTTGATATTAACATTATGGCCCTTTAGATTTAATACGACTGAAATTTGGTTGAATTATTACAATATGTATATTTGTTGTTTATAAAAACCCTGAAGATCTCTAGATTTAAAAATGACCTATCTATCTTTCAAAGTGCATAAAATAAACAGTTTTACTAATTTATTTCAATTTTTGGCATCGTTTAAGAGAATGGTGTGGTCAGTGGTAAAACTGTGGCTTGTGTACAGGATTTGCCAGTTTGCAGGATGAAGAGCATTCACGGCTCTGTACCTCAGCCTGAGGAGTGTAAGGAGGTTAGGTTCGACTTAAACCCTTTGGGATGAAATGTCAAAGGGTAAAAGTTGACCAAAATTGTCCAGTGATGCTAGAGGATATGCAGGAATTAAGAATAATGACGCTGTTATTGGTGTATGAAAATATTCCACACCTCATAAAATCGATGCCACATTTTGCAAGTGGTGATCAATACAAGAAGAGGAAATACTCCACATTGAATTGAATATTTTCTTCATTGTTTACATAATGACATTTTTTTAAAATTGTTTTACTCAGTTTATTTTTTTCATTAGCTATATGAAATATCCAGTAAAAAAATGATTATAACAATATTTATTTAAAAAAAGAAAAAAAAAGTCCAACTGTTTTACCTCTCATATATATATATATATATATATATATATATACACACACACACACATTTTATTTTAATTAGTGTTATCTTTGAACTAGCAAATATTTAAAAAAAGTTAATTTGGAAATTATGAAGTCTAATTGCTAATTAAATAACTACCATCTAATACAACAATTATATATTTATATATAACATTACAGATAATATTTAAATAATGAGAAAATACAAGTTTATATTAGGTACATAATCTGTCATCTATAAAAATAATAAGTTTGTTTATATACTTTTTTAAAATCAACAACTGTGATATAAACAACAAATATTCAATAAATTATTTAAAAGTATAAACACTTAAAATGCAGATTTGCATTATTAAAGAGTTAATGGTTTTAATTTTTTGTCTTTAAAAAAATAAACATTACATAAATAGCTGTTTTACTTATTCTTCTCACTTGTTTTTGATGCAAATTCTGAATATTTTCCATAGAGTTTTAATTCACATTGGTCACATACACGTACATTTTTGTATGTAGGAGGAAGTGGGAGGACATTGTCAGAGCAAGCGTTGCAAAAGATGTCACCGCAGTTTCGACAGTGATGCTGTAAAAGTATATTGAATTTATTATAATTGTTTAATATCACAATAAAGTATTTTACCTTTCTCCTGGTGAGTTTGAATTCTCTTGAGCAACCTTTACAGCTTGTAGCATTTTTGTCATCCGCCCATGTTGGACTGAGCGGATCTCCTGATTGAGCTTCTCTCTCTTTGAGCTCAATCACTTTTAATTTGGATTCACTGAGGTGGACACCAAGTTCAGAAAGCGTTTCTTCCTGTTCCTTACATTTTTGATTAAGGTGGAACATCTCCTCTTGGAGTTTATTGTAATTCTGAAGTAACAATTGCATTCATAAAATTTAATTAACAAACCAAATTAATCAATTAATGAATGTTTTACCTTTGTAGCATTCCTTAACTGACTGACTTCATTTTCAAGTTCGTTAATGGTGCTTATATCTGTTTGTATTGCTTCTTGAAGTGAAATCCTCAATTCTCTCTCTTGCTCCAAAGTTTGTGATGTCTCTAAAAATTTTTGTAGGGCGGTTTCTGCAGCAGTTTTGTTTTTCTCTACTTCCTTTTCCCTTTAATACATGTAGAATGCATTAAGAACAAAAAAGTAATTGTTTAACTGAGAAAAAAATTAAAAAAAAAGCTTACTAACAAAATGAAAATAATATAAAATAAACCGCATTAAAGGACATTAAAAAAAAGGTAAACTATTTTATGTTTATACTGTCTTCCAGTCATCATCTATGTGTTTACCTTTTCATTCTTGTGAAATTAAATTAATTTTTATTGCAATAATTATTTTATAATTACAAAATAATATAAATATAGAGATGTATTTAAGAAATAAGATATATTTGTTTATTATGGTGCTAGAATGTGTACGGAAATTAGAGCCTAGTACACACCAGTAGACCAGGTCTCTAGACAATTCAATTGATGTTGAAAAATGTAAGTAGATTTTGCATTCATTCTGAAAGTGAGCATTTGAATGCTTGAAATCTGCATGATTGCCAAAAACAGTATGGATTAGAACTATTGAATTGATACTCTATCTTAACTATTTCTACTGTCTCTAGAATGTTTAAAGATCAAGATTCAAGACCAGGTCTAGACTTGGTGGAGCAACATTTACTGTGACTTCCTGGCTATGAAGTTCCTATTGGGATTGCCACTTGCATGGTTTTCATTTTTGAAAATCAAAGGAGAAAACATTAACGTAGTGGACATGCAAGGTTTTATCTGAAGGTCCTATGCTTTGTACGTAATAATCTTGAATGAAATTGAAAGTAAAGGATGGATTGGATACAATGTATATGTATGAGAATAATAAGTGAACATTTTGTTTTTGTATAATATCTTTGAAATTTAGTGTTAATGAAACAAATAGAGATTCAGATATTATACCCTTGGTCAATGATTCAATTTTTTTTTAAATATTTCAATTTAAGGAAAGGAAATCCTTCCTTTCAAGAGGGAAATAATAGACAGGCCGGGTTCGGGAAGTCAGAATGGGGGCGTTTATCATTTGCCAAAGGATGTACCTCCTGGAATGACCAATGGGAGTCCCACAAGGATTGAGTCCTCATGAAGGTGGGACACCCCAACAATGTTTTGTTTTGGTTACATCACCCAGTCCAGTACCAAAGCAGATGTAAGAGTGATGCACGACAGCCGTGCTAATTCCCAACTCGGCCAAGCCCGTTCATCTCTACCTACAGCCAAGGGAATCCTCCACACTGCACAGAGAAACTGCAGACGTAGAGGACTTTACTCTTTCGGTAGCAATTTATTTCATTTTAATTTTGACAGAAGAAAGTTTTATTTTAAATTTGAATGTTCCACGCAAAAATAAATAAATAGAATTAAAATAAAATAAATAAATAAAAATTACCCAGGACCTAAATATTATATATGGCAATAAAAGGACAGGTACCTCACTGGTTGAGGAGTAAGGGTGTCTGATTTGTATTTGCTTCCCAAGCGGTTCAATGCCCAGCATAGTCCATGGAATTTTAATGAAGAAAAGATAGGACTATTTTTTAATTTTGTTAAGTTATCCATGGTCACAATATAGATAAAGGGTATTTGGGGGAAAAAAATTAAATTAAATTAAAAGAACCCCCCCCCATTTTTTAAAATATATTTTTGTACACATCAGCCCATCTTCAGCAGCCCAGCACTCCAGCTTGGCTGAAATATGCCTTCATTTAATTAAAATTATTGGAAGGCATGTCGTTAGGAGGCATATTTGTAAGAGTACTTAACAGGAATTAGCCCATTTGGGCTGCTGAAGATGGACCAATAGCCTGAAATATAAAAATACATCAATTAATTTAAAAAATAAAATAAAAATAAATAAATAAAAATGTTTTATTCATAAATGCGAACATAATATACATATAATTAACAAAAGTAACACGGCATGCATAGAAATCCGTCTGCTAGAGGTTGTTGCAGAGGGTCTGTGGCACCCTATGAGTTGTTGACAATAAGCTCTTTATATAACAAAAATTACTTTACAATAAAAAGTCTGATTTATTTTGTAATTAATTGTAATAAAAATATATTTTATTCTATTCTTTTCAGTTCTGAACTGCATTTATTTGTATAATTTTTATGCAGAAATTTCATTTAAAAATTAGCTACATTAGATTTATATGATGGTGATGGGAACTTGATTGAGAGATCTTGGATGAGAGAACTAAAAGAACTTAACAATTATAATATTAATCCAAATATGTTTAGCAGTCATAATTGACTTTATTATTTATTTCAATTAATTATCTTCATCTCAACCAACACCTTAAATAAAATGAATAATTAATTGAACTAATAATTATAATTTGACGGGCCTTCTCCCGATAATCTTAGTTATGATATCGAGAAGGTAGTTCTGGTGTGTACTACCTGGACTAGCCTATGACAAGGGCAAGACTATGCTTATGACAAGCATCCATGCTGTGCAATGTTTCGAAACTGTGTCTAACGCTGGTTTTAAATTCCTGTGCTTTTTGTCTCAGAGCAGTACTGAGGCCATCTAAAATCGACTTATTTGGTCTAAAGACAATCATAGACCATGCCTAGATCAAAAATGTGAGACCCAGTCTACCAGTGAGTACTAGCTTTAAGAGAACAATTTGGTTTATCAAATGCAAACAAATAAATTTTTTTTGTGTAGAAATATTTTCAAATGGTAACTACTGCACAGAAAATTTAATTAATTAATATCAAACGACTGAAGCCAACAAATTAAAACATGTATGTAATACTTTTCTTACCATCTGGTCCATAGGAAAGCAGTGAAAAATAAATTAGCAATGGAAAATGAAAGTGAATAACTTGGGTACTGTTTCATGAAAAAAAATTTACGTTTATTTCAAATTTACATGAAGACACATCAATGTATTATGCTATAATATAAAATGTCTTTATATTCTTTCAACAATGAATATTATGTGTTACCACAGATTAAGTTCTTAATAATCTTTGGCTGCCTGTGGTGGTAACGAGCTGTCAATACAGTCTTTTCCATTTCAATCTTGAATATATCAAAATATTGTAAAACTATTTAAGATTACTTTGTGAATGTACAACCCCTATTAAAGACGTGCGTAGTAACTGAAAAGAACGCACCAAATCTTAATGTAATATATATTTTCTCTTTTAATTCTCAATGTACTAATTTTAAAAAACCAATTGTAAGCACATAAATTACAAGCAGGAGACAACCTAAGTATTATGAGAACGCCTGCATTTTTTGTTTCACCTACAATTTTTTTTAAAGATTTTTAAAAATTTTTTATTAATGAGATCCTTCAGAAAGCTGATTGGCAAAGCTACATAAAGAATTTTCATATTTCTCATATACTTTTTTCTTTTACTAAAAACTGCTTATAAAATATGAAACAAAAAATTCTGTGACAATTATTGATTATTAATAATATACCATTTTAACATGCTTATCCTTAAGAATCAGAAGGGTAAAGTGAATAAAAAATTAGTAAACTTGTCTCATCCATATCTTCCAACATTCAACCATTTTTCTAATCTTCTAAAATTACCCTCGCTTATATATAAATGATATAATATGTATATTATAATCTTTGTATAAAAATAACTTAGTACATACTTGTCACCCATGATTTGTAGCGTGTCAGTCATTGCATAGGTCTTTGCCTCCAGCTTATTTATGAGCTCCGTTTTGTGTTTGAGCGATGATTCATATTCCTGAGAAATGACATAAAAGAGAACAAAAAAAGAAAGAGGAAGGAAATTTAAAAAAAGAAAAAACCTTTGCAATACCATATGCTACAAACCACAGCACTTCAAGAACCCTCAACCAAAACCAGGTCCTCATTATTACTAATCTACTTTTCCAGCCATTTACAACCTTGGTTAACGCAAAACGGAATGGCACATAAGTAATATATTTATAATTGTTTACATTTGATTTGTTTACTGCATGTGTATTTTGTAAGAAATTAGAATAAATGCATAAAATGGGGCCAACTGCTTTTATGGATCGTTTTGTAATATCAGCACGGGATTGAAAGAACATAATAAAAAACATAAATAAAGAATATAATAAATATTTTTTTAGGAATAGCAGAAACTATGTTTAGAAATTATAGTTTTAACTTCAAGCAATATTATTAAAAAGGAGTAATTTTCATAATTGTCTCTGCATTTATTTCAACTTCTTGAAAGAAAAAAGAATCCATTAGCACATTTTAACAAGAAGAAACTTTCACCTTTTTCATGCGATTTTTTAAAAATGTTTTGCAGTAGAATGGTTATTGAGCATAGTTCTTCATTAAACAATATATTTGTGCATTAATGCTTGATTAGTGTTTTAATATCATATCCGTACAGTTCTCTAACAAGGGAGAAACTTAAGATTTCGGGGGTGCCTGATTAGTCGTTTGATTTTTCTCTTGGCACTTGACGAGTCCATCTAGAAGTCTCCCAATCTCGACCGTCTTCTTCTGAAGACGAGTGACCATCTCTCCTTTCTCAGTCAGTTCAGTTTCGCATTCCTGTTCACAACAATCATGCACTCCCAGAGTCTTGTACCGTTACATGCCAATCTTATTTTTAATTTTCGAGGACAAAGCAAATGTTACTACTGGCACATGCTATTAGTTTGAAGGAGAGGAAGTATTATGAATATTTTAATATTAATTCATGCCTTTTAATCTTCTCTAGAAAACATTGCATGTGATAAATCAGTAGTTTTTTAAATTTTTTGTCCTACTAGAATGCAGTAAGTTACGCCCCGCCCCGACTGTTCACCTGCCTAGTTTTGGGACCTTCTGTCCCGAATACTTATGAAAAACTAATATTTTCAATATTAGAGGTCGAAAAAATTCCATTTTTTTGTACGTGTATCTTTAATGTGTATGGGACCATTGTCGACCTAGGAGAGAGTGATGGAAGTAGCGCTGTAGGGTTGGACGCCTGGATTGGGAGCGAAGGCCATGCAAACATGGCGGCAGACTGGTGGAGGTGGACAGGGGTAGGCAAGTGTGAGCAGGCATGCGAGTGAGCAGAAAGAGAGCAAGGAGAAAAAGAGGCAAAGAAGAGAGAAAAATCGAAAAGCAATCGGTTCTTCTCCAGTGTGGAAAGCTGATTTTTTTTTTTTTTTTTTTTTGGAGAGAGAGAGAGAGAGAGAGAAGGAGAAGATTTTCCCAGAAGTTGTATTTGTAGTTTGTTTGCGAGGCCTTTGGGTAATGGTTATTGTGTAAATTAAATAGTAATTAAACAATTTTTTTTCTCCAAAAGGTAGATTGGGGATGAGGCCAGGAAGACAGAAACAACATTTATTTTATTTTCGAGCTTTCAGCAGAATATATTGCCTTCATCAGAACTTCGAAACAATTGTTTTACTTTATGAACAGGTACATGTGCGTATAATGGAGAGCCGGTTAGATACGTTACATACGTTTGGAGATTTTGATTCATAGAACAAGGTGAACAGTCGGTCTAAACAAGGAGACTCGTAGCTTAGGGAACCGCCTTCAATTTTGAGCTAGGAGGATCGTGATTTGAGCGAGCAGTTATATTTATTTTTATTAATTAATTATTGTTTTATTTACTTATTTTTGTTATCATTGATTCTCGTTTTGTTCGTTTTTTCTTTGTTTCAAAGGGATTCACTATTTTCCCTGGATCAAATAGTGTAGCGTCCGAATATATTACTTGTTTCCCAGGAATCCCCCTTCTCCACTGAGCGACAAAAGTTCCCAATTCATAACAAGTATTTTTACGACAGATTTCTTTGTATATATAAAAGTAGTAAAGGATTATAAAAAGTAATTCCGACTGTCAAAATACTTGCTTATTATGAATCATCAAAGAAAATTCTAAAACTAGTGGTATTATCAGTAGTAGAATTATCACAGTAGTACCAGTAGAGTAGAATTATCTCAAACCCATTAATTATAGATAGAACAAGCCAAACATTTTGTTTACAATTTTAAGCCAAAACTAATGCAATATTTTATAGAAAAGATTAAAGATGATGTTAAAAATAAATCTAATCTTACACTGTACAGTTATATTGTTGATATACAAGAGAAAGATTTTAAGTACCTGGAGTTTTTTATACATCTCCAAGTTGATTTGTTTGATGTCGTCTAATTGTCTCCTTAAAGATACAATTGTCTCATGTTTGTCATGAATGTCTTTCTCCAAAAGCTTCATCGCAACTTCCATCTCAGCTTTGAGAGTCACCTTAGATCAGTTTTATTAATTTATTTTCAAACTCCACTACTTGTAATGACTTACTTGTAAATCAAGTTCTCTTTGTAATTCATTACTTTTTTTCTTTTCACATTCCAGATCATGCTTCAATTGTTCAACGTCTAACGATGAATGTGAATTTTTGACACCACCACCCTACAATTTTTTCAAAAGATTTGAAGATTGCTTCTGCCAATTCTTGATTGGTTATACCACAAAGTGTATTTATTTATTAACAATGTAAACATAATACCAGTAAACAAATTGACAAACCTCATCTGTTCTGTCTGAATTAACATCCCTTTTCTTATCAGTCTTTAAATTTTTATTCTCCTCCATCAATGACATTATATTTGCTTTTGCGATAGATAAATCTTCCTTCATTAATGCATTTGTCGTAGTAAGTGATTCAACTTTAGCCTGGAGATTTCCAACAGTGGCACTATAAACACCAGTAATAACTGCATATGATCTTGTTTTGAAAAAAAAACTTAATAATTGAAAATTAAATAGAATAAACAAATTACTTCAGATGTCTATTTAGTTCTTCAATATAGTTTTTCTGATCAAGAACTGTTGTCATATTGTCCAGGTCTAAATCTACATCTGGTGTTTCTCCTCCTATAACTGTGGTACTGTGATAGCTAGACCTGAGATAGAGTGAAAAATCTATCACACCTTGCTGACAATCTAAATCTTCCTCCTAAATGCAATACACCACACATACAATTCTAATATAATATATTATAATCAACACAATATCATTTTTTTTTTTTGCAGGAAAAAAGTACATTTGTATATTGGGTTCAAATTCAGGTCTGCTGAGATTCAAACCTAACCCTTAAAATTTTGTATGTGATGCTTTTGGACGGTCTGGGGTAGCAATGAATAAGGTGAAGTTCTGAAATGTGACTGACACCAATCCAGCAAACTACTAAACTAACTAAAACGATCGACAAACTACAAATAAAATAAAATATCTAACCTTCACACAGAGATTGCAATCGATGACGTTAAGACCTACTAATAGGCCGACAATAATTATCGCTTCATCACTCATCAGTAGAGCATCTGGTTCGAAATATTCTAACAAAATGTCTTCTCTATGATCAATAAGAATTTTTAGATAATCTGCTAGCTTTTTCTGCATCAGTGCCAATCTTAACCAGGCTCTTGCCCTACCCATCTGCGTTCTAGGAAATATTTAGATTTAGTAAAAATATTGTAAATTTTCATTACTTAAATTTTTAAATACCTAACAGTAGGTAAATCTCTCACACTACTTGTAATATCTAATGCTTCAGGAGTTAACTTTTCAACTACTTGTAGAATGTCCCAAAGTTCTTTTTTTGGGCCAAGAAGTCCCTGAAAGGAAAATCAATTAATCGCACAGTTTTAAAAGAATGAATTTTTAAAACAAATGTTAACTTACCTTCTTGGGCTTAAGACCATGTCGTAGTACATGTTCAAGCACAATGAAAAAATGCTGAAGTGGCATGTGGTCTGAATCAAGCATCCTTCCATATTTGTGAGAAGTCTCTATCAATTCCTTGACGATCAATTTGGAGATGTTAACTAAATTTCTTCTTTCTATTACAACAGGGTCCCTCGCTGCATGAACAAATATGAAGAAAATTATTAATCCTAAATTTTACAGCAGAGAAACAAGAACAAAATTATAAGAACAAGAAGTTGTGTTCATTTTGCAATTTCATATTTCTTTATTTGGTGTTCATACCGATAAGCATAGGAGGGCTGATCGGAGAGGGTGTATTCGGTTCTGGAATCTCCTGAAGGAGTTCAACATCCTGAAGTTCTTTTAAACAAAGCCATTCACCATCGACAGAAACCCGGAAATTGCACAAGTATATGGTATCTTGTGCTCCAGGCACTTCTTCTTCAAGCATTCTCATTAAGCTGAAACAATCCCCTCCCCTCTCAAAACTATATCAACAAGCATACTCTGCTTTATGCTTAAGGTAACAATCCAGTTCAAAGAAAAGCCAACTTAGACAACCAATTTCATTCAAACTAAGCATAAAATCAAGTGTCAGCTTTCAGAGGTTGTTTAATTTTCATTTACCTGAGTTTTAGATGTACTGTGAATGATGGAAAAATGACAAATGAAAAGAAAATAACTAAAAGACTTGAATGTATATAATGAACCTGCCAGACACAGTGACTATTGATTCCATTCTACCTTGGCTCCCACTAGGAAAATCAATACTCAACCCCCAGCGATCTTCCATTCCCTACAGCTGTTGATTCATATTTATAAGTACCTACCTACTCTATGGTCAAATTATTAATATAAAATAAAACTAACATGAAATTAATATAATAAAAATGTCTCCATCAATACTACATTAAAAATTTATGAATACAATAATATATAATCAAATAAATTATAATATGTAATATGAACCACATTTATGAAAAAAAGGATTTTAAGAGATATCATTAACGTATTCATGAATTTAATTAATGATTAATTATAATTTATAACTTAATAAAATGTAGGTTAATTGTCATTTATAAGAGAAGTGTTTTTTCTTTTCAATAAGCGAATAATATAATAAAGTAATTAATATATTATTAATAATTTAGTATTTTCAGCCACCACTTCCAGCAGATGACTGCAATCACTAATTACTGATTTATTTAAGCTCAAATCTTCACACGCATGGACCATGGACATTCATACACACGTGTACAGAGTTAAGTTTACCACTTCTCACAATCAACCGGTTAGGTAATTACAGCTTTTGTGTAATTTACAATAAATTATCGGCAGTCCTTGGTTTCACCTAGCTCGGGTTTCCAGGGGCTGACCTCCGTCTTATCCAACCAGCTGTCTAGGTTGGGCTCCAGGGGCTTAGCATGCTAGCATGCCATTTCAATGGAAACAGTTCCTAAATCCAGATCCACTCACTTACTCTTAAATACATTTGTTTCTTATTTCATACCATTCACTCAATTAGGGTGGTGGAATACTCAATATACTTCCATTACCCTTTACACCTATTTATAATTAATCTAAGGTAAATGAATATTCCGTGATTGGCCCTCTCAGACTACACATTCATGCCAATAAATACATTCTCTCTCAATACATGCTAGGGACACAAAATATCTGTACTAGATATATTAAAACAACCCTGTTTCCTCCAAGAATAAGAAAGAGTAAGCGGCGACCCAGATACTCGCTGTTGAGTTCAAGCACAATTCTCAAAAAGGTGCATTCCTACACGCTCTCTATGTGGAGCAAAGGGATTGCACCCTTTAATTAGGTGGGATTGAACAACCTTCTCTGCATGCCGGACACATACACAGGCTTTGGCCCAAAAGTGATTGTCCATGTTTCAATCTCGCATGGCCTATTCTCTATCCGGTGAAGATGACCCTTCCATTATGAGTAAGGTCCTCTGGGGGACACTTGTTGAAAGTACACTTTATGCTTCTACTAGACCTCCTAGCCTACGCTACTTTCTTTTAATAATTTTTTTATTGCACTTTTAGCGTCAGGGGGAAGGATCGCGGAGGTTGGGATGAACTTAGCTGCCTGATCTTTTTTTTTTGTTACCCTCCAGGCCTACGTGTCCCCAAATTACAACTACCACCATTGTGCTGAAATTTTCTAATTCGTGGTATCTCTCCATTAAGAGCACAATGAAAGGGTTTGATAAGGACCTGTCCAGTCAACAGTAACTGCGTTGAGGGAGTCAGTGCAAGCAAAGTAAGCAAAGTTCCCATCGCTCTGAAACATCCTAAGCATGTGCCACATACAATTCTGCTGTGTAAATACAACCTTATACTCTTGTAATACATACTCTTATAATACACACTGCATGCCACCCCCTTGCTATCTTAGACCTGTCTGGGAAGATGAGGTAAAGGCGTATTTTGATCTAAGTTCCAAGAACTTGCAGTAAAGTATGACAGAGTAGATGATTTGGCTAACACTGCAAGATCATCTCCCAGATGAGTATGGCCAGGAAGACATAGATAGAGGGGAGTTGGCCTGTTGCCCAGGCCGAGTACTGTTCCCAGTGTCATCCCTGCTCTCCCCAAAGCTTCACCAAAGCGTATTTTCAGGTGTCGCGTCTGGCTCCAAAGGCACTCGAATATTCTGCTGTACTAGCATCTATGGTTGCACCCAATAAGCAGAACCCTGCAGCATAGTTGAGGGTAAGCTGCTCTCTCTGAAATTTGAGCAGCAGCAGACCCAGCTCACAACCATGTTATTAAAGCAAAAAGGACTAAGAAACAAACTGATGGAGCCTAGGCAAAGTTTACATTAAGTAAGTAATTAAGTAAGTAACTTATAATACAAAAGAAATGTCGAACGTCTATGTAACCTAATGGACAAGAATTGGAAGAAGAACAAATATCAATACAAGGATCAACCCAGGAAGGAGGACGGGAACATTGCACCAATCTGCAAGTACAACATGGCCCCTCCTAGCAGCAAAACACCCCAGCCAGATAATAATCCCATTTCAGTAATGCAGCCCACCCCAGCAATTCCACCCAGAATAACAAAGCAGCAGGGACATGGAACACAGTGCAAAATACTTAAGAATTACCTCCAAACCATAGCTAAAGGAAAATTGTTTAAGAGTTTATATTTTGGAACTTATCAGGCTATTCAAGCCTTTTACCTGCAGATTTAGACTAAGTCGTTTTAAACTTAAAAAAAAAAGCCAAATATTTTGTTTAGTAGAAACATGGTTAATTAAAGATCTTTTTTTCAGTGCCTAATGTTTAAAAATTGTTCTTATTATCATGTAGGATAAAGGAACATTAAATTAGTTGTGTAATATTTTTTAAAAAAGGTACTGAAGTTAAGGTCTATCATTAATGAGTCCAAATAATTGTAAAACCCTTATCTAGACATGTTTATTTTTTATGTTTTATTTACTACTTTCATGACATTTGTGTAATACACTTAATAATTCACAAAAGTATGTTTGATTTTAGTTTCGTTTTATATAGTCAGTTAACAAAAGTTCCTGTAATTATTTATTTAGTGGTGTTTTGTCAAGGTGACCAGCATATCGAATGATTAGTTTATTTCTAATCTATGTGCTTTTACACATGCTTCTTCTTGTGCTTCTTTATAGCATTAAGAGAATAATATTATTTCAATAAGTGACTCTTTTCTATATAACATAAAAGTGATGGTTGGTTAATTTTAATTCCACTTCATTTGTGTAAAATGCATATTGAAAGATTATGTAGGTCTAACCCCCCCCCCTGTTAGTTATCTCATTGTGAAAAAACTTACAGTAAATAAAAATCTATCTATCAGTACCAGTGCACAGCACAGGCTAGCAAAAGGGCCTGTTCTATTATCCACCGAAGACCCAAAGATCGCTCGATAGTAGGCCCTAGTGGTCTGATAGTAGAGCCTATTGAGCTTCTACAGGCACATTTTTTGTGCTGAAGTATAGGCCATGCAACCATAAACGAGGTTGAGCACAGCAGCGAGTTGAACTTTTTTTTTGGGGGGGGGGAACTTTTTTTTATGTTTGTGTTATTTTATGTCACGAGTTTACCATTTGGGACATCAAGTTCAAAATGTTGACATTTAAATGGAAAAACACGAAAATCAAGGCATTAAACGTAAACTGCTCAAAAATTAATAGGATGATTGCTGATATTGTAGTACTTACTTTCCCTAGCATTTTTATTATAAATTGCATTAAAATTTATTAGAAATTATTATTTATTATTGAAGGAAAATTTAATGAAGGGATTTTGAAAAATAACAAAATAAAAGGTTTTAACTCCATAACTTTGTTTACTGGCTACAATAATTTTTTTAATAATTAACACTATGTATAATATCCTCGGTTTGCTAAAATTGCACCTGTTAGGCATATAGTTAATAAGATTGACACTAATTTCACTCCGTAGATGTTGCAACGCTGCACTCAGTTGTTCCAGGTGATCCTGCCTTTTCTAAAAAAGCCTTTTCTGCAATGCATCCCACATGTGCTCAATGAGATTGAGGTCTGGAGACAATGGGGGAAGGGGCAGATGGGAAATTCCCTGGTTTCCTAAACAATGATGAACAATTCAGCCTATATGAGGTCTGGCAATGTCATCCAGAAATCGAAAATCCCAGCCAATGATATCCCCGGTTTGACAGATGTACCCATTGAGAATTTCTTGGACATAACGGACTGCAGTGTCGTCGACTTCAACAATACGGAATCCAGTTCGTCCTCCAGTATAAATCCCAGCCCAGACAATTACACCGCCTCCTCCAAACTGCACTAAAGGGAGCACAAACCCATTATGCATTATGCATTATAGCATCCTCGTCTCAGTAGACTCTTCAACACCTGTGAATATTATACAGACAGAAACGTGTCTCACCACTTAAGATAACAGAATTCCAATTGGTGCTCTCTTTTAGGCGCTCGTTGCACCATATTCTGCTCAGTTGCGTGGCGGCTGTTGCTGCAGGTCATCTCAAAGGGGATACGATGTGAGGCCTTGATCACCTTGGCAAAACATCTTGTACATACAGTTAGGATCTGGCGGGCACTATGGAAAGGGTTTCGTCTTGCAGCAATGCCAATATTTCTGTCTTCCATTAGCGTAGTAAAGCACTGTGATCCACTACCTATTGGCACTTCCAGTTTCTCGGAATCGGGCTAGCCTGGGAGATGATGCGCTGAGAAAAGCCAACTTCCTCAGCGATATCCACATGCCGGTGACCTCAATGACTCATTTTTACAATAATATTACTACGTTATGGTTCAAGAGGATGTCTTTCCATGATTAAAGAGAATACAACTGGATAAAAATGGAGAAAAGACTAAAAAAAGGTGTTTGTTTACAAAATGAGTAATCTTTATCTCAACTAAAAACCTTAATTAATTATAAAATGAGTAATCTTCATGTTTACTAATCTTAAGTAAATCCGTTATTAAAAATGAGGATTATCATTTGTTAGTACTTTCTGTTTTCTTTCATCCAAACTAACAAGAATGTAACGGTTAATTTAATTAAAAATAATAGAATAAGAATAAATTACAAATATCCTTATTTATTTTTGAGCAGTTTAGTTTGTATTTTTGTGGTGGATTAACACAAGGCGGGTGGTCGGTTTGTGTTAAAGAGTAATGACAGATTGACAGCTGAGAGCAGAAAGAATGGAGAGGCGAGAGCTTCATGTCGAGAATTACCTTTGTCCTTCTTCGTCGGCGACCTTTGCGGTAGAATCTTCGAGACGATAATTTCGAACGAGCTGAGAGAAGGAGATCTCGAAGAGAAGAAGTCATTTTCCCTTGAATTCGGTCGATTTTGCAAAATTGTACTCCTCTCGTTATCACCACAGGCAGCCATCGGTGGTCGGACGTCAAAAGTGTCGAATTGACGAAAACCTCACCCTACGACGTTACCTCCCCACTCAGATAACAGTTATGTTTGTTGTACTTTTTGTTTATTTATAAAACCAACGTCGTCGGCCCAGAACTGTTAACAAACTTTTCGAGGATGGATTACGGAAACGTCAGCTTTTCCATATCTGCTCCTGGCAAAGTCATCCTCATCGGTGAACACAGCGTGACATACAAAAAACAGGGCATCGCGGCATCGATCAACAAACGGACCTACTTGCATTTCAAAGAGCACAAGCAAGCCCACGACCAGATAACGTTCAAGCTTATGAACAACGTTACCGAGTGGGATTTCAAAAGTGTTTACAACCTGATTATTCTAAACAAGCCACTCGTCGTCGATAATATAAAAGAATTTTCGATTTTCACACCGGAGTTGCTCAGGCACGAGGAGTTCCTCGACCTGATCGTCGACTTTGTAAGTCAAAAGGTGGAGTCCGGCAACCCCATACAGAAAGGTGTGGTTGGCATCTTTTACATAATACTCGGTATGCTTTGGTGCACCGATATCAATATAACGCCTTATGACATTGAGGTGACGACGGATCTCATCATTGGTGCTGGGACCGGCAGCTCAGCCTCTTTTTCGGTCTGTGTCGCTGGCGCTGTGTACCACTATATCAGACTCAAAGCTGCTGAAAAACATGGCTCTGGGGAATACAACATCTCATACGAAATGTTCAAACCATATAAAATGAATTTGGCACAACACTATTGTGGCTTTTCCGCTGAAGTAAGTAACGGTCTTTCTTTTTTTTTTATTTTCTTTTTTTTTAAATTATTGACTAGGTTCAAACCAAAGCCTCTCTAAGGCATGGCAACATCATCACGAGTTTAACATATTTATCAGGCGGTCTATATATCGATGGTTTTGTACAATTTTCCCAACTTTTAACAGTTTGGGATCACAATGGAGATCTTCATTTCTAATCTACCAGGGTAATTTTGCAATATTGTATGCCTTTTTATAAATCAGGTCTATTTAAACCGCCCTCAATATGTAACAACTTACTGCAGATTTAAAGGCAATAAAATAGCACTCAACACTTCACCAGGACTTCAGCCTTCTAACAAAGGTCTAAGTAACTCTGACCATGCTACGGATCGGACATACCAAATACACACATGGCCACCTCATGAACAGAGAAACTCAATGCAACACATGCAACATATCTTATTTATATTATTATTATTATCTTACTGTAAAACATATAATAACTGAATGTCAACTTTTAAAAACAGCCAGAGAAGTATTCAACCACCTCGAAAGCCTAAAACAGATCCTAAGCGACTAATCAACATGCTTAAATAAAATGTTTGAATTTTTAAATGTACAAACATACTCAAAGAAATAAAAAACAAATAAAAGCAAAACAAATACTAAATATAACAAAAACGGTTAAAAAAAAAATANAAAAATTATATATAATAAAATAAATTAATTAAAAAAAGAAAAGAAAATATAAATAAACAAACAAGCGAATAAAAATAGGTAGGTAAAGGAATACAGCAAAATAAAATAAAACAAAGTAAAAAAATTATACATTAAAATAAAATTAAAAGAAAACAATAATAAAACAGACAAAGAAATAAATGACATATTGAATCAAGATGAAATAGCCTGAAGACTACCTTTTAAATTTAAAAATTTAAAAAAAGGTCTTGTGCTCCAAGCCATGATTGAGCTATTGTTGGTGCAGAATAAGCTTGCTTTCTATAAACATTGGAGGCTTTCTGAAATTAGAACTATACAACATACACCTTTATTAATTGATTTACATGAAATTACGTAGATGTCTCACTCAGCTAAGAGAACCATTTAGTCTTATGTAATAGGGGAAATTTAGCTGTGTGTGCCTTCTGTACACAAAATTATTGAACAAACCTAAGTAAGGGGTGTTAGAATACTCTTACAAACCATACATTCATTTTAATCTATGCAGTATAATTCACATAGGAAAATTAGAAACAACAAATTCTGTGCACAAGAATGATTCTTTAACAGGTGTAACTAAATACAAAATATGCTTTAAAACTTAAATTAAATTATCCTAAGATGAAACTTCTTCTCCTTTTATTTTGGTTGTTGAATTCATCATGTAATGTGGGTTTAAAAAAATTATACTTACAATTAAAGGGGCATTGTAGTTAGTTAACAAACTTCTCGACAATAGCATGCCACTGCATAATGACACTGAGTTAAAGCCCAATTTTTGATGTGCTAGTAAAAGAGTAGAAGCACTATTTTATGGGTATGATTAGAAGAATGAAAAAGTTTCTATATCATCAAAACTAAAAGGCTTCAAAATTGACATTTTCAGTTTTCCCTTTCAAACATAATAGGTAAATGTTGAGTTTCTTATACCAAATTATCCCAGTGACCTCCCATCAGTTCTAACCTATGGAGTCAAGCTGGGGAGCATAAAAATAAACATTTTAAGGTATGCAGATGACATCATACTGACAAACGCTGTGGTAGGCCTTCAAAAGAACATTAACATGCTAGACTTGTACTATGATCAGTGGAACTTACATGCCAATCAATAAAAGGTCTTGGTTTTTAGAAGAGGGTGTCGACTTAGTTCATCAAATAGGTGGTTTTTCAAAGAGGAGAGAGTTGACAAAGTCAATAAATACAAATACCTAGAAGTTACACTCACACCTAATCTTTCCTGGTCTGTACATATCTAAAAAAAATTCTTGTAGCCAAAACAGCGATAAATATCCTTTAATTGTGCAGAATGTCATACCACTGAGAACAAAATATTCAATGCTGTTTGTAGCAATTTTATGTTATGGGTACCAAATCTGGGGATACCAAATGATGGGGTGGGAAAGTACAGTGCTTCTTCATTAGGAAATTGTTTTCATTACTGCCTGCCATGCCCAACCATCTTTTATACTTGGAAACTGCCACTGATCTGATTTTTGTTTATACTTAAACTGCAGTTTGCTCACATAAAACCTTAAGGTCCTCAGGTTCTAGGCTTGCCAGTATTACAGTTAATTCCAACAGTTGGACCTCTCTTACCAACCTCTCTTGGTTCGCAAATTGGAAAGTCTTATTTGAAAAATACAGGATTCAATGCATTTTAAACTTAGAGAATATACTTATTTAAACTCTTATTTCAAAATAATCTTAGCCTGTATTTCCCAAGTACATCGTGATGTAAATCCTCCATTGTGCTCATCTATCAACCAAAGATATTCCGTAAATAAAGCTTTGTCAGAGGCGTAGTTTGTTTGAATTTCAGAACCCAAACTTAGATCTGTCTGACCTTTGATGGCTGTTCTAGAAAAGATGTGAAGCGCCATGCCAAAATGTAGTTGTCTGGTGGCAAGACAATGAGAGGTTGTATTCTTCATGCAACTCACATGGTCCTTAAAGTGTCCATTTTATGGTGGAATACACTCTCCTGTAGAAAGAACTATTTTTGTCATATAATTAAATTAATTTAACTACTATTTTTCTTAAATGTAGTAATTTAACTACTATTTTTCTTAAATGTAGTAATTTTACTACTATTTTTCTTATTTATCACAATAAGTAATTTTCAGGACAAAGAGGTAATAAACAAATGGGCCTTTTGTGTTGAAAAAATAATACATGGAACTCCGTCTGGTTTAGACAACACAGTGTGCACATTTGGAAATACTGTGCTTATAAATCCAATTGAACGTCAGTCTGAATCCAACCTGCAACTATTAGAGAATTTCCCCTCTCTGCGAATATTATTAGTCAATACTGGTAATGTTAAAAATCAGTTTTTAATTTATACGGTCAGTTATTTATATAGAAAATGGCAACAGGTATTCCTAGGTCTACTTCAGAACTTGTGAAAAAAGTGGCAGATCTTCATAAGTTGTCCCCAGAAGGTGTTGGAGCAGTTTTGGTCGCAATGGATTCGATAGCACAAGAATTTATAAAATTGATGCAAGGTCTTAAGGAAAATAACGATCCTTCAGATGTAGCTGCAATTTATAGAAGATTAGAGGTATAATGTTATTATGTTATGATTTTTTCCTTATTGTTTTAAGATATACGGCTTAACAATGTTTTGGCAACCCTGTGCCTTTTTGTTAATTTGCAATTTTGTTAGTTTAGTTTTTCATTTACTTGCTACTTCATTTCAATTACTTCCCCCCCCTCTGTTTTGCTGAAATCAACTTTTTTTTGCAATGTAAAAAATAGGAAATAAAATATATGACTTGAGAGTGGCACAGGATTGCCGAAATGTCGTTAAATTGTGAATTTTATTTAAAAAAAACACCTTTAAATAATAAAGACGAAAAAAAAAAAGAAATTTTCATCTCTAAAAAGAAAAAAGAAGGACAACATTCATGAGAAAAAGAATAATATTAATTTAATTTTTAATTTTTACAGTTTGTATTTTTTCTTTAAGCTTCTAGTTGATCTTCAGCAAGGTCTCCTTACAACCATCGGTGTATCCCACGTGCGATTGGATGAAATTTGCCAAATAACAAAAAAGAGGGGCTTACACAGCAAACTTACCGGAGCTGGCGGAGGTGGTAATGCAATTACATTGGTTCCTTCTGATGTAGCAAGTGACGTTGTGGAACAAACTGTGGCTGATCTGAGATCGGCGGGATTTCAAGTAGATGACATTATAGTCAGTGGCGAAGGTCTTTCTCTGGACTTTAAATAGTGCTTGCAATAGACGAAGTTAAAAATAAGTCTTCCAAATTTTATCACAATGTTAAAAGATTTCAGACTGAACTTTTTATACAAAAACTATGATTGTTCAGAACATTCATGACATTAATTTTTTATTATAATTTTTAGGTATACAATTATTATTGTAAATTTATATTTACTAAAAATGACTGAAATCAAAGACTATTAAGTTTTTACATTTCTCATAATTATAAGCTGGGATTAAAATCTCCGAGTGTTCAATTTAGTTACAATGATTTTTTTATTGAAAAATGTTTGATTATCAATTAACAATAAAGCTGGATTAAATATTTTCTTTGGATCTTGCTGTCGTATATTATCATGTTTCAATGACCATCTTATTGATATAAGGGATTTTGAAAGCCAATATATAATTTCTAAAATGCTCAAAAGACTTCCACCAAGGAAGAGTCCACCAATCGCTCCCATATCCACTGCAGTATAAAAAAAATTATGTAATAAAAATAAACAAAAATGTTTTCAAAATGACATCATACCAATGAGCTTGATAAGGTCATAGGTGATATCACGCTTGTATTTGACTGCGCCTGAGCTTTTATAGAATACATCAATGTACCCTTGCTGTACACGTTTTGCAAATTGATCTTTAGATAACTCTGTAATGGCATCATAATTTACTTCATTGCAAGTTGGGAGGCAGTGGTGACAATCAAGTGTGTTCTTGGATTCTGCTGGATGAAAATCTTCAACAACAGAGTTTGGGGGTTTGTAAAATCTGAGGCTTTCTTTAAAAGAAAAAAAAAAATTAACAGCAATATATCATTATGCAAAGCTTTATTATATACACTGTGATGAAAAAGTTAATAAATATAAACTTTGATGAATTTGTTTTTAAATTTTAAATTAACTATGAATGACATGTATGCTTCATTAAATAATATAATGAATCATTTGTAATTTTGATATTTAAAAACCTTCATATGATTATAATATAAATTTGGAATAATGGAATTTACTTTTTAAATTTGGCTTACTTGCCTGAAATATTTAGGATACAGTAAAGTTGAACTGAATTGCAAACTGGGTAAGTTTCATCTGGAATAAAGATAAATATCATCTATATTTTAATCAACTACTCATATAAGTAAGTATATATGTAAAAATGTATTTGCCAATAATATTATATATTGGGTTGTCCGGAAAATAATGCAGGATTTTGGTATTAAACAAAAAAAAAGAAACTAGTTACTTTAAAGCAATGTTCTTTAATCAAAATAATTTCCTTGGTAACTTATTAATTCCGTCTGAGTAGAATTCAGAATTTTTAGAATTGATAAAGTCAATAAATGCATTTTCCAGTTCCGTTTGATTTTTGAATATTATGTGTTGTAAGTAGTGGTCCAGGTGTCTAAAAAAATGGTAGTCAGTAGGCGAGAGGTCCGGAGAGTAGGGTGGGTGAGGCAAAGTTTCATAGCCAAGCTCCAATAATTTTTGTGACGTTACACGTGACACATGTGGTCGAGCGTTGTCATGCAACAAAATGGGCCCTTTCCGATTGACCAAAGAGGGCTTCATTACTGCCAATTTCTGATGCATGGTATTAATTTGGTTACAGTATGATTCAGCATTGATGGTTTCGCCAGGATTTAAGAAGCTGTAGTGTATTAAACCAAATGAAGCCCACCATACCGTAACCATTACCTTTTTTTGATGAGTTGGGGGCTTTGGAGCTTCTCCTTTGTCGAGCCACTGTCCAGAACGTCTAGTGTTATCGTAGAGAATCCACTTTTCGTCACATGTAACAATTCTGGCCAGAAATGGGTCATTTTTGTTTCGACAAAGAAGTGATGCACAAACATCAAAGCGCTGATTTTTTTGGCGATCGTTTAATGAGTGTGGAACCCAATTTTCGAGTTTTTTCACTTTTCCAATCGCCTTGAGGTGGTCAGCGACGGTCGTTTTACTGACTTTGAGTTGCTCTGCAAGTTCTCGAACAGTTGTTTTGGGGTTTTCTTCCACCACTGATCGCAGAACATCATCATTAAGAGAGGAAGGCCTTCCACGACCTTCTTCATCTTCAAGGCTGAAATCTCCCTCCCGAAATTTTTTAAACCACCTTTGCACAGTGCACTCATTAACACAACCCTCGCCCCAGACTTGGTTAATGTTTCTAGCCGTTTGGGCTCCGCTTCGGCCGAGTTTAAACTCGTAAAAGAAAATCGTACAAAATTCTCGCTTTGACATTATAAGGATGACTGAATTATTTCCAAGTAGCGGAATGCTACAGAGGTAAACAAACAATATCATTTGGAAGAGGATTAATAAGTGTTGACATTCATACAAATGAGTAATCCTGTAAACGTAAACAGAATATTTTATATAGATTTTTTTTAATGAAAACTTAAAATCCTGCATTATTTTCCGGACAACCCGATAATTTACTAGAACTGGACATTATTTATTTGTTTAAATATTTTTACATTAGTGTTTTCATTTCAGATTTCAAATAATTCTTCTAACGCAATAATTTTTTTGAGCTATGAAATTTTGATATGTACCTCTGTAAAAATAATACGGGACACATTGACACATTTTTATCATAAAATTTACTCGGCATTCAATCAGGCATGATTTTTGAGAATATGTCAATGCCATTAATGGGGTTTTTTCGTCTTTAAATATGCATCCCCTGTCTTCCTGTTTCAGTGATCTGATACCGTCTGTACTCATGATGATTGTGGGCTTCACTGCCACGCTCATTTTATTGAGTTTCCCTATGGGCATCATAGATCCTATCCCTGCCTCCGGATATTCGATCGGATTGTGAATTTCAACCTGTAGTTTTTTTACACATTTAAATTTATAATTTTAAATTAACTATTTGTCAACCTTACCTTTAATTTTGGACCACCAGAAAGTTCAATTGATTTGTACTTGTTAGGATCTAATACTTTAAAAAATATCTCAAGTCCTGTAGTTGGTCCGACACTTGAACTAGATCGAATTTTACAACCAGGTTTCTTGAGATCAAGGTATGAACTAAACATTGAAGCTGTTGTACCATTTTAAATTATAATATTGTAACAATGTATTGCTAGAGTTCCTGTTTGAATCGCAGAGTAACACTTGCAATTGTATGCAATATTCAAATAATAAAAGACAGGTAGGACCAGTAAATTTAACTAAAGTTAAATTAACAAAATCACTTCAAATCAAAGAATCCTGGTACTCCAGGTTTTAACCCATTTCCTGGTCCACCATAAAAACAACATTGCAAATCAGCAACTTTTTAGTTATAGATAGTTGAGTATATCAAACAAACCCACCAAAGACAAAGAAGAGAGTAAAATGTTAAAATGCATTACTAAACCAGCAAGGATAGGCAGATCAGGATGGTAAAACTATATCATAATTTGCCCTTTTACATGAAAGCGAAAACATGGACTATGTGACTAAGTTCAATTGAGCAGGGGGGTTAGGTTCGACATTAAATTAAATTGGTTAGAATATATCAATTTGCTGTTGGCAAATGGAAAAAATCTATACATAAAATATTATTCAAAGTTTCTCAATTCATGGTCACTATGAGGTGTTAGTTTCCAATGCAATTTCAAATTATAACAATCAAGGTCTAAGAGAATCGTCTAACAAATTCAAAAAAGAAAAATAAATAATAATACAAAGAACGGCCCATTGTTTGGAGAGATAAATGGCAACGATCGATGTTGAATATCTTGATGTAGGAGATATGGGTGGTTATACGCTCTTGGTGTTGTACTGCATCTTTTGTTGGAGAATATCGGGTAGTAGTTGCCATAAGGATAAAATTGTTTTACCAGATCTCGATACCAATGAATTAAAAAGCCTTTTATATGGATCCAAAGAGATAAACATTTTAGGGAAAATTTCAAATTTATAATTATCTATCCGCTTTTGCGTCATTCAGGGCTCTAAATGCAGATTAAAAGGAAGAGGCCTTTATTCCAAGCAGATTCAAGGTGTAGCTACAGAATAAAATAAAATAAAAAAGGTGCAGCTAATAACAAAGCTACTATAAGTCATAAAAACCTTTTCAAAAGATTAATTGTGTTATAATACATTAAATGTTTTGACTAGTAAATATATAGAAATGATAAAGGTGGGGTGAGTATTCATCTATTAGAATCTATTATCTATTACTTAACTACTACTATTACTATTACTTTATTAAGTATCTATTACTTTCTCAAAAGAAACTTTTCTTTTGTAAAGGGACCATCAGCCAATACATTATTGAAATCGCATTATCATACTTGCATTGATATTAAAAATCTACTAGTTAGTATTTACGCAGACAGATGCGATACAACACTGTCGGAATGACACACATGAAACAAATTAACAAAAATTTGAATTTTATGACAGACTACAAAAAATATTAAATTTAATTATTGCATGCTAGAAAAATTTAGTGAGGAAAAACAAGTTAAAAACGTATATATATATTACCAATCTCCAAACTTTTGAGATGTAAGTGAGTTGAAAGAATAGCAAAAGCCTTCTTCACTTTTTTGAAAGAAGAACAAATCTTTGCAACAGTTTTTCCTAATTCCCTGCCAATAGCAAGTGATAAAAATTTCCTCACACGATGGCATAGACTGAAAATAATTTGAAACAGTTTTAAACATAAATTTACAAATGTTATTTCTATTTTTTTTTTTTTAAATATAATTTAGGAACTTTTTTGAAAGAATGTTTATGTTTCGAATTCAGGGCCTCAGAGATTTGAATCTGTTACCATACACTGATAAGTCGCACGATGGTGACAAATGCTTCATTTGTGGAAAAAAAGGCAACATTGTTTAAATTGTGCTAATTGACAATTGTGGAAGTTGTTCCTTATGTATTTTTCTACTGCCGAATCGAATAAAACATATTTTGTAAAAATTATCATCCTGAATTGATAATATTGTTATTAATTCCATTATGTTATCGACCAAATTACTTCTTTCAATTAATTATTCTTTTTTATGTTGAAATGAAAATATTAGCTGAAGGACTTGGGTTTGAATCCCGATCGTGACACTAACTTTCTCATTTCAACCAAGACCTTACATAAAGAATAATTAATTGAAATTGTTATTAATATTTTCCATTGTTTTTTTTTTAATTTTAGTTATGATGTTGACACATGTCAGCTACGACCCCCATTTCACCTTTTTCGTTAATAATTATCATTTCTTGGACTATATCAAAGAAATTTTGTCTACAATCTCAAGGGTGCCTTGTTGGACCAATCTAGCGGCCCTGCATTCGAACCTGACATACTTAAAAATGGGCTTTTTTTCAAAACCACCGGACCCTGAGGGTTTATATAACCTCTGCTCTTGCGAACCCTCATTTAAAAAAGATTAAAAAATCAATTATTACAACCTAAATGATATGTAACATTCTGCATTTTCAATGCAACACCCACTTTTCTGGAAATGGAAGGGTCATTAAAAAAATTTACAAGTGGCCTAAACATTAAATACCACACTGATAAGTAATTGAGTGTAACTTCATTTTTTCAAATGATACCTACTATGTTTTGATACATTTTCAAAAACTAGATTTTTTATTATAAAAAATTAATCCAAGAACAATTAGATTCGTTGCGTATTTCCGGAGAATTTCAATCAAAGACCGGGGGATATTTCAAACTTTCAACAAATTCCAATGAAGGAAAATCCTAATCCACCTTTAAGAGATTCAGTGAATGTACTGGGTATTTCCAAAGATAGTGTCCACTGAGTTCTAAAAACTTAAAACTGCACAGGATTTTTCTCGTTCAAGGCTTGTGACAAACAGATCACAAGCGAAGGATTTCTATTGTTTGGCATATATGGAAATGGAGCAAATTCCCGATTTACTATACCATATTCTCTGGACTAATAAATCCAAATTTACATAATTGAACTGAAGTTAAAGTAAAAAGGATGCGTAACAATACCAATATAGACCTTATACACTCAAACACAACAAACTGGACACTAATATGGTTAGGGATATTTACGCGTTTATTTTTCATAATAACTATGTATAACGATTAATAGATTTCATGTTCTACCTACATGGGAAGTGCCTTACAATTTTGATGGTAAGACTAAACTCCCCCCCCAAAAAAAAATTTAATTTTTAGAAAATTGTAATTTTCGGAACTTTTCCTTTACTTACTATATAAACCCTACCTATTTACCCAATCTCACGTTTCCAGTTATCCGGGAAGTGCCTTATAATTGCTTCCGACGGAGGAAAACTGCAAATTTTAAAGTAAAAAGGGCCAGGGAGAATACCTTTTCCCAAGGAAAAAAGATTAGCTTGGCAAAAATGACTTGAAATTATCATCCCCTCAACTCTGCCTGAGGGGCACACCCGTTCAGTAAATGGAGACAGTGCGATTCCTTGGCCTCATATTTCATGAGAAATTGAAATGGCAGACAGAGGCAAAATCCTCACACACTTAAAATTTGTTGGTTACTTTAGGTCGGGACCGGATTAGGAGACCCTATTGACGAATGAAGTGTGGGCTAAAGGAGAAAAACGGCGCTTCGATTATGTTAAACATGCACGACCGTTCCGTATGACGGTTTTAATCTACTCAAGCGCCTTGCTGAGAAGAAATTTTACTTTTCATTCGGACAACACAAAAATGAATTTATTTTCTGTGTCTGGCTTCTGGTGGATGCACGGCTCTCGAAATCGGTTCGTTGGCTAATGTATAACAACGAGGCAAAAAAAAAAAAAAAAAATATTTTCTGTAAGTTTAATACGTTATTCTGAGGAAAAAATGATAATTTAGAACAAAACAACGTTTATTATTATTTTTTCCGGCCGGGAACTACCAAGGCTATTGCCAGTACATCGCGTTTTCTCCACCTCGCGGTTTTTCTCCAGTAGGAAACCAAGCGATCTATCCAATATAACTTCTTAGACTTTATTTTTATTTATATTTACCCCTCCACACGTGGTTAAAAGGCTCTACAACTGATGCATACCTAAACATTCATACTTAAGTTAAAATGTTTATTATTATAATTACTTATTAAATCCATTATATTTAGTGGTCTATTGACCAAATTACTTCTTTCAATTATTCAATCTTTTATGTAAGGTTTTGGTTGAAAAGAAATTATTATTACTATTGTATGTGATGCCTTGATAGTTATTGCTTTCTTTTCTTTACAATATCTATAAATGCTCAAAAATGAATAGGGATATTTGTATTTTATTCTTATTCTATTAATTATAATTAAATTAACCGATATATTGTTGTTAGTTGGATAAAACAAAGTAGAAAATATAAACCAAAAAAAATATTAATCGTCATTTTTAATAACGGATTTACTTAAGAATAGTAGACATGAAAATTACTCATTTTGTAAACAAATACCTTTTCTCCATTTTAATCCAGTTGTATTCTCTTTAACCATGCAAATTGAATCAGAATCGCAATATTATTGTGAGAATGAGTCATCGAGGTCACCGGCAAGTGGATATCACAGTGGCAGTTGACGTTTCTCAGAGCATGATCTCACGGGCTTTTACTCGATTCCGAGAGATTGGAAGTGCCAATAGGCAGCCTGGTAGTGGATCTCAGCGCAATACGATGCTAAGGGAGAACAGAAATATTGTCATTACTGCAAGACGAAACCCTTTCCATAGTGCACAAGATGCTTTGGTTGTTTTAATGCCCCTTTGAGATGCAGCAACCCCCCTCCACCAGCAACTCAGGAGAATATGGTGCAGCGAGCGCCTAGAAGAGGACACCGATTGGAATGGTGTCATGTTTATTCATGAGCCGTGTTTCTGTCTGTACAGGTGCCGAAGAGTCTACCAAGAACAGGGGATGCGTACAATGCCCCAGTTCGTGCTTCCTTCAGTGCAGTTTGGAGGAGGTGGTGTAATTGTCTGGGCTGGGATTTACACTGGAGGACGAACTGGACTCAATATTGTTGAAGGCAACCTCACCGCAGTCCGTTATGTCCAAGAAATTATCGAGGAGTACACCCCTCAAACCAGGGATCTCATTGGTAGGGATTTTCTGACAATGCCAGACCTCACAGACGCAGAGTTGTTTATCAATGTTTAGAAAACCTGGGAATTGTTCTTCTGCCATACCTCAATCCCATTGAGCGTGGGATGCGGTGCAGAGAAGCCTTTTCGATCACCATCCGCAGTCAGTTGACCTGTCTGATATTCATACTGAAGCATTTATTTATTTTTTAGTGCACACTATATGGCATGTTTGAGGTTTTATTAGTGCGTATTATATGGTGTATTTGAGGATTTTTATTGCATATAAATCCGAACTCTAGAAAGGTTGCTTTGTTCGAGAGTCTTTTATTGATGTATGGCCTATTCCTCGGCCCGAAAAGAGTCTCAGTTATTGACCAAGCAGGGGCATCCCCTGCTAGGACTATCCTGAAGTGCCCATAAGAGCCGTGTACAGTTAAGAACTGAAGGAACTGCTTTCAGTTTTAGCGCCCTGTGTAAACCCGTGTGTTTTGTCCACCTTCTCACTCATTCTCTCTCTCTCTCTTTCTTTCTTTCTCTCTAGTAATAGTAATAAATAGAAATGCAAATGCGTAGTATATTCCGACGAGCTTTGACCATTTGTCCTGAGCCGATGGAAGTAAAGGCATTTGAAACAATTTTTGAACCTAAGAAAATCGCGGCCATTTGTCCCGATAATCTTAATCAAATAATAAAAGAAATTCTTCAATTATTACGTATACATCATACAAATCAGGAAGAAAGATGTAAAATTTAATTAAAAATTCCCCAGAAATAATAAAATGGGAAAATGACCTCTAAGTAACACCAATTTACTTAAACATGAAATAATAAGGTAAGACAAACTTCCCTTTAACGGCACGTTACAGATATCCCCAAGCTTTTCGAAACGATGTACATATTGGAATTGAAAACTTACAGAAAAACAAAATTCAACACTCAAACTCTTTCTATAATTAATTTATGTTTATTGGTCTAATTGATCAAATTATTTCTTTCAATTAATTATTCTTTTTATGTAAGGTCTTGGTTGAGAGGAAAAAGCTCTCTAAAATGTTTACGTATTTCCTAGTTGTGGGGAGGAGTTAACTATTAGAATTGACGATTAGACATGACAATAAATTTAAATCCAGAAAATTTCGTCTAAAAACTAATAGTATCCGCATGAAATCCCTAACATATTAAATATCCAATCAGGATTTTTAAAAAAATTTGTAAGTAACTTGTGTAACAATTTTCAATTAGCACAATTTTTATATAAAGTGAGGTTTTTCGCGTTTGGCACCATTTGCGGCCCCTCACAAACTCCTTTATGTTTTATAATGTAATAATTAATGTGTGGTGTTTAGTGACCGTTACTTGATGCTTATTTGAAAGTCGTGAGAAGCGGTCTGGCACTCTCAACACGACAGACAAGAATGACACATACACGGAGAACAAACACTGAAGATGATCTCAATAAAGATCGAAACGTTGGTATCGAGAAAATGTTTTTCTAAAACCTACGTCACACCAGACCGCATATCACGACCTCCAAATAATCAGTAATAATTAATTTTAAATTTTATGATACCTTGTACATAAGTTCTGATATATTGATGTTAGACAGTAATGGCAACAATGCCTGGCTGTTTTGTAAATAATGTGCCATTTGAGAATAAACAGGATGTTGTAGTAAAATAAGCGATGTTAAAAAATCAAAAATTTGAGTATCATTAAGTATCTCAGGCTGTATACGACTATAACAAAACGAAAATTCACACGCTCTATATATTTACGATGTATGTATAAGTTTTCTGTTTTTTTTGCTCACCTGGAAAGGTAAGAAATTGCTTGGGAAATCAAAATTTTATTAGTGGGGCAAATAGAAACTGCTGGGAACAGGACGTCAGCAAGAGGATAGTGGGTGTCTTCGACAGATATTGCTATTGGATAATTTACATAGTTCTCCCAACAATTAAATGTCATGTATGTTGCTCCTGAGAAACATAGCAAAAACAGCGAAGACCAAATAACTCTAGCAAAATAATTTTTCATTTAACATAAAAAAATTAAGTTTTTTTAGGCCAACGCATACCTGTGTAATGTTGTCTCACTATCTCTAAAAATATGCTGCACGCCATGGAGTGTTGAACCTTGAGAATACTCTTTAAGCAGTGCAATACATCTTTCAAGTTTATAATCTGGTATGTCTTGTATGGGTCTGTTTACTTTTGAGCGATCTGCAATTCTCCTTTTCCTAAATTTATTGGCTTTAATCATTTTTTAAAAATCTACTTTAGTTTTCAGATCAAACCAGAAGCAACGCCAATGGAGAAGTGAATAAGTCAAAATATGATAGTACCATACTTTTTTGATGGATGCAATTTATTTTTCAAGGCTCACAAATATTACACTAATGGCGAACAAACATTACATAAAGCGACGATTTGTCAGAAAATCGATACGTAAACTCGGATTGATTTGATGTAAGTTCAAGTAATCGATTTAGTAGGGACGTATCTCGTAATTATATAAAACTATGAGGTTTACGAGTCTAATTCTTGTGCCAATCGTATCAGCAGATAGTTTCCATTAAAACGTGTACAACTTCGTCGAAATTTTTTTCCGGATTCTTTGGTTTTTGTCTTTTATCTGTCTTAGGTTATTGATTCACTCTATTACCTTGTATGTCAATATGTTACGTGTTTCTCCAGGATTTATAATTGATTTCGAGTTTTATTAGATAAGTAGTAGATCGGTAGTAGATAAGAAAGGCCGGTTCTGCCACACCTCCACCTTACTCACCTTACAATTTCCACCTCCACCTCCATCTTCCATTTACTTCCACCATACCTCACCACGACCACCTTAGGCCACCTCCCACCTTAACACACATCTCACTTCACGTCACCCGTGGACTTCTCGTCGCTAGTTCAAAAGCTCTACCTATCATGACTTCACCATTTTACGTCATTAATATTTATTTAAATAAATATTAGGTTAAATAAAACACAACAAATACTTTATACAATGTTCATTATACACATTAAGTTACCTTGTTTCCTCCCGGTACACTAAGAAACAAATAAGATCTATTTTTCGCTGAATATCTCGTTGATTTATATATATTTGATTAATATTTACAAATGAACCACTTTATCGGAGAATACCCTGTTGAAACGTTTCAGGAGAAAAACTCACATTGATGATTTCGGTAGATCGGTGTAGTCCAGGCCGTTATTTTGGATTTTGGCCAATCTCATCACATCGAACCTTAATTTTCAAATCGGAAATTTTTCTAATTCGACGAGCGCTGATTTCGTTGAGATTTAGCCGAGTGGATAAGGCGTCAGGCTTTGGGCTCGTAGAACTCTCGTTCGTGGGTTCGACTCCCACAGACGCCTCAGGACTTTTTTCTGAAGCCTAAGAGGAAGGTGGCTGCATTGAAAATTGACACAGCATTCATCGATGGAAGGTCTGGGCGAGATCGGATCTCAGCGGCCCTATATTTAGTCACAACCCTGTTCGAAAATGAGTTTCAAAGGAGCTTTCACCAGGAGCTCAATCCACACACATGTTCCGGGCTCCAAAAATTTTTATTATTTTATTTAAAATTTTATAGAATTTCTTTTATTATTTGATTAAGATTATCGGGACAAATGGCCGCGATTTTCTTAGGTTCAAAAATTGTTTCAAATGCCTTTACTTCCATCGGCTCAGGACAAATGGTCAAAGCTCGTCGGAATATACTAAGCATTTGCATTTGTATTTATTACTATTACTAGAGAGAAAGAAAGAAAGAAAGAGACAGGAAGGAGCACAATAAGCTATATCTGCAGTGCTCAGGGGAACTCCTCCAGTTCCTGGAATCCACCAAAATAAAATCAATCTTTAGAATTATATAATGGTTCCAGTCCAAAGTCCAACATTGATGCAAAACGACCTGCTGAGGCGAATGAAACAAAAACAAAAATTAAGCTCGGAAACCTCGTAGTTTTCGAGATAAATGAAAAAAAAACCTACATTTTTGTACGATGTTATTCGATGTAAAACGACCTGATGCTGAGCCGAATGTAGCAAGCATTAAGCTCATAAACCCATTTGTTTTCGAAATAAACGTAAAAAACCTATTTTTTTAATCGGTCTTATTTGAACGACCTGCTGAGTTATTAGAACATAAATTCTAGCTAGCCACACTACTACTGATGAAGAAATCATTTCCAACCTCATTCAGATAGTCATCCGCAATGCTCTATGGGGCATTAGCAGGAGTCTCTCACCGACATGTTCTTCAGTTAAGTTTTGTATGTACCTCTGTGAGGTTAGAGATCTTACTCGCACAACAACCAATTCGGGTGTCGAAGGAAAATGTCATACCAGAAAGTCAATGACTCAACGTTGAATGCCACCTGAGGATTCACAAAGCATGGGGCGTACCTTCCTCCTGAGCGCTCCATATGAAATTACAGCCAACTGAAGATTTGAGGGCAAATCTTACCTCATCTATAAAGAAAACTCGTCCCCATTTTCCAATGTCCAATTCACATGTTCCCGTGGGAACTGGAAATTTTCGACGAATTTTCTGGGCTGTGGTAGAAGATGTCCACGAGCTAGGTGCTGTGCAATGAGGTCATTTTCATTGAGCCTTCTTATTACAGTCCTGGAGGAAATCGGAACATTTTGTCCTTGTCTTATATTTCTTATCTCGTTTTCTGTAATGCTGCGGTTTCGCAGAGCCTGATGATGCAATCTATGGTCTCTCTGATCTGTAGACCTACGTCGACCCTGTTTTGGTCTTCAAGCGTGAAGCCCTGTTTCTATGAAGCGCTGAATAACGTTTCCAATTGTAGAGTGAGTTACATTCAGTATCCTGGCAACTTCTCCTGGCTCTATTCTTTTTTCTAATAATGTTATGACCCGGTCAATATCATACTCACTCAAATGCCTGACTGGAGCCATTGAAAAAGGTTTAAGAATTAGAATAATATCAAATGAAATTAATTAAGGAAAAATCATATAAACACAAAAACAATTTCAACGTTATGTGAGTACGAAAGAATAAATTGGGTTCAAAATTTATATTAGGTAGGAGTATGGTCTTTTTTCAATGAACAAAAGTTTCGTAATTCACCCAGGAATTTAAGATGACCCGAATAAAGTTCGAAACATCGGCAAAAAAAATGAAAAAGGTATTTTTCTAAAATATTTCATTCTTGACCGCTCCTCACGACTTCAACAAAAAATTTATTTATAAAATAATAAACTTACAGATGTTTTATTTAACATTAACGAAAAATACTATATTATAAACAATATTAAGTACATTTAAACATAGTTAAAACTTAGACATAAGACAACAAAATTAAATAAAACATAGACAAATTTTGTAAAATCCGAATAATGTAATTTGAACAAGAAATGAATAAATTTTTATAATTAACATTTTAATAATTAATTATGTTAACGTATGATATACTACATTAAATTATAAATGGAATGAAAAAATATTGAAAAAAGCCATTATATCATTTATATTACAATAACACATTTTAATATACTAAAAATTGACTATTTATCCACAATGCAAAAACTTGTTTCCTCTGCTTACTCTTCAAAAACCATTTTGTTTACAAAGCTCAGTCTCTTTCAATTCTTAGCGGGTAACAAAATACAAATTATTTTCATGTCAATTCCGTTCGATTTGTACAGGTGGAAAAGCTGAAGTGGTCATTAATTTTTCAGGCGACACCATTTTGGAATCTAGCGGCCTTCTCCTTAAAAGCTATTCTCCTTTGTGCTTTCTCTTCTTCCTCCCTTCTCCTTTCTTCCTTCTCTTGCCTGATTTCATCTTCGAATTTGCTGCTTCTTCTCAATTCTTCGATCTGTGATTCGAATAAGAGGAATCTTTGAATGACTGAATTATTTGGCAACTATGTTAATATTACATTTATGAAATATGAGAAAAATTGTGGCACAAACACAAATCAAGTATATATACTTTTAAAGGCAAAACGAGATAGGAAAAAATTGTAAATAGTTCTATAAAAACTAACCTTGGCTTCGAAAAAGTTTTTGGCGCCTCCGACTCCGACTTGATCGACATCGATCTCGGTTAGTTTTGCCAATTGGGAGAGGCCACTTTCCTCGACAAGCTCGCCTGCTTTAGCTTTGCGAAAGATCAACATAAACTAGAACAAATGTAAAGTTTTAAATTAAAAAAATATAATTCATTATTTTAAAACATGACAATACTGAGAAATTGAAGAAAAGCATTGGAAACACTTTGGCAGAATGTTTGCTAATTTTTGTACATCAGATGCATTAAATCAAACTAGAAATAAAGTATTTTATCATTATTATCAAAGATATCAATTAAAAAAAGTTAATTTATAATAAAACACAAACTGCTACCACTGGTAATGTATATTCGACCATGCAATAATAGACACTCAAAAAATATGTATCTAGCACAAAAATATGTCACTGCTAAAATTATAAATTAAGAACAAAATTACTGTGTGTCAGTGTCTTTGTGTGGGAGTGCTGTCTTAATAGGCTGTGCGTTTTGTTATTCGTCGTGGGTTTTTTGTGTGTTTCTGTGTATACTGACAAAACTAATGTCAAAATAAAACTGCTCGCATGAAATACACAGTATAAATTCATTATTCAAATCATGAATAAATACCTCGCGGAAGCTGATTCTGTTATCTCCGTCTTCATCCACTTCTTTAATCATTGCTTTTAGCCCGAGATGCGTCTGGGGTGCACCAAGCTTTTCCATCATCCTTTTCATATCATTCAAGTCCAAATATCCATCTCGACCTTCATCATACCTGAGAGAAAAAAAGAAAAAAAAACAGTAAGAAAAGATTGCAATTGATAACTGCAAATGATAAAATCTAAAGACAAATTATGGACTGGGAAGTACAGAATGGGGTAGGTAATAAAACTTTAAGGGTGCAGTATGATAACAACCTAAGAATTCTACACTGTACATGACTGTTTATGTTGTAATTATGTAAACTTTTTTAAAGCAAAATTTGCGTTGAAAATGTTTGGTTAAGAGCAATTAGATATAAAAATATATGTTCAACTGTTGGATCTTTTGAGTCTAATACTTTTAAAGTTAACATTGTGCACAGGGCTTTATCGAGGAGAGGGATCGATATCTAGTCACCATTGACACCTCCTCTAAGCTCACTGGAGATTCTCTTGAGTTTGATCTTAGAGTCCAGAGAGGCACCCCTCAATCCAGACCAAGACAGACCAGCACCCAAGGCCCCGGATGGGCGTCGCCACTACCGAGCTTCACCATACCACCAACTTAGAGTGGCAGCAGAGGAATCAAAAGGTGAGGGGATATGAAATTATATTTTATCTATTAGCTGGATGTCGGTTAAGAAGTTAAAAGTTTTGTTGATTTTGAATTGTTGCTTAATATGGATAGCATGCCTCTGGGGTGGAGGGTTCTAGCGCAGAAGTGTTCAATGATGATGTGAGATGTAGTGATAGGAGATGTGCAGATTGGTCATATAGGTTTCAAAGAGTAAACTATGTGTGAGCCGGGTGTGGCCAATTCCAAGTCCGGTTAGAAGGGATTCTTCTTTTAGGGAAGGCCTGCATAAGGTCACATTAACTAATATTTCTATTCTTTACATCTTTTTTATTGCAAAGGGTTTGTTCCTGTCAGGCACCCCGTTCCAATCTCCCAGACGAACTGTTTAAAGTGATTACAGAGGTTACTGAAGGGAACTCAATTTCAAGGAGTACCATTTGAGGCCTCTCTTGTCCTTCTGTCCGTGTTTTCATTCTCCTTATGCCAGCGTGGCCTGGAATCCATTTCAATAATACTTTTACACCTTTGTTTTAGTTTTGTAAGTATACCCTGGATGCCTGGGTTTAAGGTGTTGTTTTTAGTGTGGTGTGTGCTGAAAGAGAGTCGGAACAGAATATTAGGATGGTACTGCCATTAAATTAAATGATATTAATGGAATTGAGTATAAGTGTTCAGTCGTAAAACTATAGCAATTAGTTCTCTTTAAACGTGATTATCCATTATGATAACTATACTCTATTATATTATATCAGTACGCTTTTAATTTGACAAGTTTTAAAATTTTAATATAGATCATTACAAACTGTTTTCAATTTGTTTCTAATTACAAAGGATAATTAACAGCTAAAATTGCAAAAAAAATTGTAAAGCTGGTTTGAAGATCTACAAGAAAAAAGATCTTTTCGAAGCACAATCTTAAGTTTGCACAAATCCTAGAATTATAGTTTTTTCAAAAATTAGTTAAATAAAAAACAAAGATATAATAAATTAAAGAAAAAAAGAACAGTCAGAGGACACATAAAAACATTTCAAAGGGCCTTTCGTTATAAACAGGCCACAATCAAACTTCAGTCGTTCACTTTGATCCCATCTAGATTGATATTTATGTATTCCGTATATTTTTATTTAAAGGACAATTTCCTCGAGGGGAATTATAGCTTTCTAATTATTTTTCTCGTTTCATTTTTATTTTTAAAATAATCTATAAACATTGTTCATTGTTGTCTTAATTCCACTTTTCTTCTGCCGTCTTGCACTCTTTTCCATTCTCAAGAACGTCTTGTTTAAAATTCTTACGAAACGTATAGGTGTTAAAAGTTAACGTGACAACTCCTTCTCTAATTAAGCTTTTTTTAAAGACCCGTTTTATTGGACAATGTTACTTTCACCGATATTGAAGAAAGTGGTTTAAAACCTGTCTATCACCATCTAAACTCATCAGCCGACCTAGCATTCTTTTGATTCTTTTGAATTTACTATTCAGGATTGTTAAATTCTCTCTATTATTCTCAAACTAAAATAGTAAATCGACTGTTAGTCAATGCTCCATTATCACGATTTCTTAGAATTTATTGAATGACTAAACCCATCATAGTGATATAAGATAATAAAATACTTGCATATTTCGATTTAATTTTGCATATTGGCTAATGAAATATTTTAAAAAATACACATTGTACAGTTAAAAAAAAGTTAAATAGACATGTGAAGCGATTGGTAAATCTTTTGTGGGATCATTATCCCCAGGAATGGCGTGATGCGTGCAAGTCTAATTTCTGTTCTATTTTGCATTTTCACCGTTACTTCACTTTATTTTTTTTTTAAAGATTATCAATGGTGGAACTGCTTTTTTTGTGATTTCCGGCCTAACAGAAATGCACACAATTCCTTTATCCACGTCGTAAATCGGTTGGCTCTAGAAAAAAAAGCGTATAGACGATTGGCCACACTTTCCAACAAGCCACACGGAAGAAGAAAAGCAAAATACGGCTGAAAGTTATTTTTGTAAAAAGTCATAGTTGAGCAAGTAACATTATACGAGTTTAAATAATAAACAATGAGTGACGCTTTCTGACAAATTCCAAAGGAAAAAATACAGAAGGTTGTGTAACATTCTTATTATGGTAAACAGCATAATTACTTTTACCGATGGCAGACACGTCCTGTCCATATCTGGAAGACGATATGCGGAAAAGTAGAAGGTCGTGTACGTGTAATGACTTTATCCTGTTGGACCCTTATCGCCGCTTCCGTCTCATTTCTGGGTCAGGGAGCTTTAACGGATTGGAAGCTGTAATTGGCCCATTCTTTTGACAGGCCTATACAGTGCAGACAGTCTATTTCAGAAAACGTAAGATAAAATCCTAAATTATAAAGTAAACATGGTCTTTCTTAAAAAATAAACCACATAATCAAGTCTTTAGTCCGAATGGTATAATTTTCTTTCATAAGGTTTTCATTAACTTGCGGAAATTAAAAGCTTGAAGAGATTAACGAGAAGGAAATTAAACTCAGATATTGGTTTTCTTTATAAATAAAACTCTTCTATAAACATTTATGTCGATTTTTTCCAAGTTTGTCCAGATTTTCACTTAAAAATTCGTTATAGTTTTAATATTTCGTTTTAATTACTTAATTACATTTCAATTCAAGGAATCTTACGTTAAGTGATATTATTCCAGTACAAAATCAATTCTTTCAAAATAGATTAAAAACAATTAAATAACAACCAATTGCAAAATTTAATCATACAAACTGTCAAAGTACCATTTACTAAATTCTGATGAAAATTGTTAATTAAATTTTAATCAATTCATTATATTGAATCATTGTTAAATGTGGACTGTTGTAATTTATTAGTTCATTTTTTAAATAGTGAATTCAGCCCTCGTTCACAACTGAGCCAGCATTGTTGTAATAAAATTATTATTTGTAATTTGTACGTGATTTCGAGGCAGTGTCCGAGTGGAGAAATATTTTCATGAAATTTACCAGAGTAATTTATTATTTAAAAATATGTTCGAACACAGTGAGGAAACGTCTATGTGAGGCTAAACGTTTTAGCCAGCGGACCTCTTCCACAGAACAAAATCCAGGGTGGACCATTTTCATTCAAGTATTTAACATTAGATACTCATATAGTAAATTAAAGTTTTATAAATTAGCTAGTCCTAATTAGATGATGGAGGGAATAACACTATGAAAACGAACATTAGATTGACATATTTAACTTTATTTACAAAATCCAGAACACAAAAATCAAATTGGACAGAAAGGGATCAATAGATGTGTAAGTAGAAATCGAGTCAAATTCCAAAGTAATAATTTGAACATTAGTGATTAATGAATTAAAGAGAAGAGCCTGTACAATTTGGATATATAGGATCTAATTTTTGATAGTAGAAGACGGATGTCGGGTTCAGTATCTAAAAAGCTTTGGTATTTAATTTTGGTGGCTGTATAGATCAAAAATCCGGATTCGCATGGGTAAGTCGTGGCAAATGGAAGAACATGTTTGACTTTTTCAGCGAGCGGTTGAAAATTTTAGTTTTCCAGGCGAAGCCAAAAATGAAATATTTCAAGTTGGAGTCTGAAGTAATGTCTATCACAAATTACATGGACTGGTTGGCTTTGTAGAAACTAAAAACGGGTTGACCAAACTTCATCGTTTTGCAGCTTCTACCTTAAGCTGTTGGGAAGTAGTGCTCGAAGGACTAAATTTCGCAGGTATTCACTTTTTTCGTCAATCAACGCCTTGCAAGCTCCAGTTTGTTTTCTTTTAAAAAATCGTTTAACATAGAAAACACTCCACCTCTTTCTTCACAACAGAATCCAAAACTGGATTTTTCTTTTGAAGGAGTGCCATTAGCATTGAATGTTGTGATACTCTTCCCTTGAAAAGAAAGACTCATCTCATTCATTTTCATGAAAATATCTTATTAATACGACAGTATACATTGATATTTCTCATAATTGAAAGCGTTGGCCAATTTGACAATGAGGTTCATCAGGTGAAATCTGTGAAAGGGCTTTCTCACGAGGCAGCCACCGCACTTCTGTATGTAGGAGCAGGGAGTGATGATGGCTTCCCTTGTCGTCACATATTATTGTGAAAAGTCTTGACTCAATGGCCTCCAATTGATACAATTAATAATTTGAACAGATTCATACAAAACTTTCTTAAAAGAGGCTGGCATTTGTTTGATAACTAAAGCAGTCTGTGAAGAACACAATATTGCAGCTGCAATCTTTCGATTTATCTTTTATTTCACTAATCGATCGTTCGATCTGTCACTGCTTTTGCACCATCTGTGCATACGTCAATGCAATTAGATCATGGAATTCATTAGTTGTAAAAAAAATCGTCCAACCTGTTGCAAATGGCAGGAAGGAAGTGGTTTGCACAAGAGAAAATCATCCTCGGAGCATCCCGAGTATTCATAACGGATAAAAAGCCAACAGTATAGACAAGTATCCGTTTTTTAACAGCATAGTTGG